TTGGCCGCACTATAGGCAAGCTCATACTGTTCAATCTATATCTTGTGCATGCGCTTCCCTTATCATAGTAATCAGATCCGTTGTAGCTAATATTTTCATTAATCTTAGCTTGTAAATACGACTTACTGGGTGCCTCGAGTCGCATATGTCCTCAGTGATGTAAAGCATGTTACGAGCCATGTACACAACGTCGTGAAGTGTTTAAAGTTTTACAAAGAAAACTTGTATATGGTCTCGAGTAGTAGATACATATACATAAAGCGTGCACAGTGTCTCGTGCCGCATACATCAAGAGATGCACAGTGTCTCGTGCCGCATACATCAAGAGATGCACAGTGTCTCGTGCCGTATACATCAAGAGATGCAGAGTGTCTCGTGCCGCATACATCAAGAGATGCAGAGTATCCCGTGCCGTATACATCAAGAGCTGCAGGGTATCCCGTATACATAAGAGGTATCGCGTCTCGTTTGGAGTGTGGGTGGCCAACGTGTTTGAGGGAGGGCGGTACAAGCGCTGGTCAGAGGCGGAGTCCTGCAGTCCTAAACGTGCTTGCATCAGTTGTCTTCAGCGCGTTCTTTGGTCGGTGCTTTGCTTGCTCAAGCATCGGGGCCCCTCAGGCCACAAACTGTACATTTTTACATGAATTGGTGACTAGTGAAGCTGTCACGACACTAAATTTGGTTTCTTCTCAATGGAATTAATGTGAACGGTGGGCTTGCCTAGCCGGAATATTTTAGGGAAGTTTCAGCTGCTTACAATTTTTTCAGTCCTTAAAAAATTATTTACTTGAATAAAATTAAAAGTTGATTTCAAAATGGACTTCATAATCGCAGGTGTTTTATAATTTCGGTCGTTTTAAGTTTTTCTTAGTTCGCTCATGCTCTCGCCTTGTTAACTGAGTTGCCAGCTGAAATGGTTGCAAGACTATAACACTCGGTGGAATAATTTTGTATAGTGTATCATCTGTAAGAAATTATGCACTATATGTACAGTTACTGTACAAAATGCAAGCTTTAGTATAACTCATGACTGACTGCAACAGGCGTCGAGTAATCCTCACATAGTTCATTGCTCAAGATGACGGTGAGTGAACGTGATTTGCATGCAGCCGATTTTTTCAGTTTTTGAATTTCGTTAAAAATTAAAGGTTTATGTGTAAAATTCTCTCAGTTTTTTAGATAAAGAAGAATATGTCTATATCAGCACTTACATTGACAACTTTTTGAACAGAAGACAACGAACCATTGCTGTCATAAAAAATGATTTTAATAGTTTTAAAATTATATGCTATTTCCAATGTAATTATTAAATGTCCCAATCCTAAAATATTTTGATAATGAGAAGCAATTAAAACAATTAATTGCGACGCAAAGCAAGCACAGAGTTGTCCAGTTCAATCAATTCGTTCACTGCCTGCCCACCTGGTGTTGATGAGTATAAATGAATGACACTATAGACATCTACTGAAATGTATAAAATCTTTAACTTGATTCATTCAGCTCCAATTCAACTGAAAAATATTTGCCTTGAAGGCTCAGAGTTTGTGAAGTATCCTGCATGACAGAGCGTCTCTGTATCGGGATATTGATCTCAACAGAGTTCGACTTTCGATCAGTATCAGAAGGCATCAAAACACACCCCACCCGTGGACCCTGAAAAGCCTCAAGTACAAAAAAGCAGGAGTGAAAAAAATCACTCCAAAAACTTTCAATAAAAAATAAAGCTGCGTTACGAAAAACGCGACACCCAAACGCTTTGGTTTGCCCGGAACACTCGCGCTGCGTTGCGCCAATAGGCGACTTGTTGACCTGCGCTGTGGCTGTGTTTGTTGGCCCGAGTCTGTGCCGGTCACATCTATTCTCATATCCATAATGCTATTCCTACCTGATTTACTAATAATCACTTCTACATCCATAGAGAAACATCCGCCCTCTTCACTCCGGAGTGGTTCTTATCTTACTTGTACGTGGAACGTTCGTAGCACGCATATTTGCCATCATTTTGGCTTGTGTTGAAAAGAATCTCTTGATTCTCATCCCGACTTATTTTACCTATATATAGCTCATTAAGCTATCCATTCTTAAATTATTGTATAGGGTAGAGTATCATTTAATTCAAGTTATATGAATAAATTTTTTGATTGAATAATTTAAGTAAGTGCTGGCAAAGGACCGTCGGAAAAGATCTGTTTGAATAAATTATAAGAAATATTGAGGGCGATTTATAAACGCGCATCTCAGTTTATTTAAAAACTTGCCACGCCTCCGTGGTATCACTAAATTCTGTGTCCTCCTTAAATTTCAAATACAAATTAATTTTTGCCCGTTTATAAAATTATTTCTAGATTTATAATTAATAAATCAAAAAGTTGGTCTCGAAATCAATGAGATGGGAGGTTCGAGTCTTCACGTAGAAGAGAGAATCGAAGCCACGCTATACGTTCTATATTTCAGGACGCGGGTCAGCGAAGATCTGCCCCGAAGAGAATGCAATGTCTTATTATTAATGACTAATTCAGTTTCTAAGCTTAACTCCTTCGAAAATTCTTAACGGTGTTTGCGATTGCACAAACTCTAAAGTAAAACACTCCATCTCTTGACCGACTCAAATGCAGCTAATCAAAGACATTGATTTATATGTACCCATCATCATCATCAAACATTTAAGTTTTCCCGCATGGAACTATTGCTTCAGGAACTTGAAAAGAGCTTTCTTAAAAAGGGAACATCTCTGCCCTGGCACAGTTAAGTATAAGATGTTAATTGAAATTAAGAACCGTATCAATGCCGACCTGCCATTAGCCATTAGCGGCTTCACTTATCAAGCCGTTGATTTTATCAGGGACAAGCGAGATCCTCGGCATGGCAATGACGGTGCAATTTCTCTCCTCACCTCTTTGTCGTGCATGAACTTCCTAACTCATGCTGCTACTCATCTCTTATTCGTGAAGTCCCTAGCTCATGCTGCTTACTCACCTCTCAGATGAGGACTCCCTTACTTATGCTGCTATTCACCTCTTATTTGTGACCTCTTCAACTCGTGCTGCTATATACTCACCTCTTGGTCGTGAACTCACTAACACATGCTGCAACTCATCCATGAAATGTTCGAGTACTACGATGTCTCGATCGTCAAACTCAGCAATTCAATGGTCTTGCCATTAGCATGAAGAGTCTCAGCCGTGTTTACCGTACACAATTGATGGCCATTTTTAAACTCTCAAAAACCCCAAGCCAGTCACTTTTGTGATACCGCAGCACAGGACTTCGGCTTGCTACTTGACATGAACTATGTAGAACCTACTCGAGTGTTCTTAAACAGAAACGCAGAAATTATATGATGCAACACAAAATTCGGTTCAATAGCGCCATTATAATCCCGATCGATACCATCCATCATTCTGAAACAAGACAAACTGTGACTACAGAAGCCCTGCTCACAGCTAACTTTTGATCGGCCAAAGATTGAGGGAAACTAAATTATTAAGATGCAGGGTACAAGGGATTATCCTCTATGTATTCCTTTGATCCCATACGACGATTATGATCACGGCGCGTCTTATCACAAAGCTTACGAAGGCAGCCAGACTTGAGAGAGCGTCGTAGCGAGCTCATCAAAGAGGCGGAGAGTCGAGGACGACAAGCACTTTAGATCTTATCGTCCCGGGCGATAATTCTCCTTTGTAGCTGTGACCCGGACAACAATGGCTCTCCTCGTCATTGCTTATCGCACATGCGAACACGGAATCCACGAGCCAAATCTTCAATAGGAATCCGAACCCTCCGTTACCCTTAATTGCAACGAGTCTTTGTGCAGCTTTCACGCGTTACCTTAATTGACGGGTCGTAATCGGCGAGCGTTGATCTGACGGCCGCCATCGTCGATAAACTTGGTGGCTTTTTGACGGTGATTTGGCAATGCGCTTCTTGGAAGCCGCGCTACTTTGCATTCGCTGAAACAAAAGCGAACAGGACTTTAATGAAGGGCCTAGCGTGCGTCCGAATTAGGGACGACTCAGGCTGATATAATTCATTGATGATAAGATTTGAATTTGTTCCATCAAGTAAATGATTGAGCACATACAATCTTTTATTAAGCGTCTCTTCTACACTATATGGAACTGTATAATATACTGAATTGAAGCTAATTATCTGTATAAGTGGTGCATTCAAATGATTTCAAACTGATGATGTAATTTATTCATTTTCATTGCTCGATTCCTTCATTAAAACCAAGGTGTCAACTATTTATTTTCATTTTCACTTTCATTTCATCAAAAGAAGACGCTGTTTACTTTTAGTTTCACATTGACTTTAGCACATCAGTAAACTTATACCAGCCAGTATTTGCTACTATATTTCTTACTGTCACCAGAACATGTGATCAAGTTAACATACCGAAGTGTTCACTAGACGACTCTTACGGTTGTCAGCAAATAATGAAGTTGTCATCCCAATGTGTTTACTCTTTAGCTCTTTAGCTCTTACTCTTTTACAATGTGTCACTTACTTCAGGTAATGTGCTGACACTTATCTCCATAGCTACCAGCAAAACATTATCAGATGGCAAATAGCAATGTATTTACAATTTGTGTCTTACTAAAACCAGCATGCCCTCGATATACTTACAAATGCCCTGATTATTCGTTCCTTCCTGTCCCCAACTAACCAACAGTTTACTAACAGCTGTGCTAACCAAGTGTTTCCTACCGTCACCAGCCCACCATCAGTTAACTAACATCTGTGCTAACATTGTATTTCCTACCGCCTCCAGCGCATATCATCAGTTTGCTACCCTATGCACTAACATTGTATTTCCTACCGCCACCAGCACACACCATCAGTTGACTACCCTATGTGCTAACATTATATTTCCTTCCGCCACCAGCACACCATCAGTTAACTAACAGATGTGCTAACATTGTATTTCCTACCGCCACCAGCACACCATCAGTTAACTAACAGATGTACTAACATTGTATTTCCTCTTCCGCCACCAGCACACCATCAAGATGCCCGAGGGAGGCTGGAACGGTTCTCAGGCGCCGCTGAACGAGCGTAACTCGGGCACCTCAGGCACGTCGTTTGTGTGCCGCTACTGCCAGCGTATCTTCCGCAAGCCCTACAACCTCTTAATACACGAACGTGCGCATGCAGAGAGAACCAAGTGTCACTACGACGTGTTCAGGGTGCGCTCCAGTCTCCAGGTGGCGAATTAACGTCACCCCGACGTGTTCTGAGTGCGTTCCAGCCTCTAAGTGACGTATTAATGTCTATATAAGATATTCAGGGTGCGCTGATCTCGGGATAACTCTTCACTGGTTGACATTAACGCTCGGTAGTCGGGTGATTGGATCTTTTGCAGTGATCAACAATAAAGGGGACATCAGGGGGCTGCTTTAATTGCCGACATGGAAAGAGAATTTATAAAAGTAGTAACTTCTCGAATGTAAAAATTGATTTTTAATAACTATAAAGTGTTATTGCTTTCCGCTCAATTTAATTTCATCAGCATAGTAAACGTGTTTTTTTCCACCGAGCGTTGTTTGATTTTCGTTCTATATTTTCCAGCAGGTATGCGGGATGTCGTGAAGAGCTGCATGGCTGTCCTCTCAGCTACGATGGAGGTCCACAACTGGCGACGAATGGATTCTTTTGACAATATTACTGTGGGATTTGTTTCGTGTTTTTAATTGTAGTTGTACTTTAAGAATTTAATACTTGCATGAGAAGTAACTTCGGCTCTGAATCTTACAACAATCTTTTTTGATTAATGAAGAAAATATGAGGAATGTTTGCGACATTGACAACTACAAATTTAAAAAAGTCGAAAACGCGGACAATTTGCCTTATTCCTTTGATTAATTAAATAAAAGTTTTCGTATTTCTTTGCTTTCGAGTGTGAGTTAATATATTATAAAGCATTAACATGCACTCTCATCGCTATTAACAGTCTTTGCATCTCGTTTGAATCGGCGTGCTTGAATATAATGTAGAAAAACTAGCATAAATTTTCCATCAAGCAACATTTGCAGGAAAATTTTTCTTACATTTCAGAGCTTTTCGTAAAAAATGGAATTCACTATTTAATTCGTGAAAAGAAGTTACATCATCATGAAAGTTGTCTATTTTCTGCAAGAACGGTTAAGTATATAATAACAGATATTATTAGAGGTTATTAAAGTTTTTATGTTAATAGTGAAATTCATTGATGCCATGAAACTTATGTGATTAAACTACTTGTTAACTAAATTGACTACTTCAATTATCTAGGCTACTTTGTGATAAATAGTATATGCGAATTGAATGCTTATGTACACTAATTTCCCATGCTTTACTGTTTAATCATGCTTAAATCTTTATAGCAATTTTTTCCCGTATTCCGTATATTATAAATCGAAATCTCTGACGCTAAACTTTCTCGAGTGATCCGATAACCTAAACAACAAATTGTGATCCGATAATAACTAATCTGGTAGCTTAAGCTCAAGCATCAGCTGTACATTAATTTAATTAACAACATAATACATTTTATGCACATAATTTCTAAGCAAATTTTGTCAAAGTTCAGTCACTTTTACTTGTTTAATCGATCGAATTAGTTATCAGAAAGTGAGTTGAATTAATACAAGGAAATGTCGAGCCTCGGGAACGCTGTGTCAAATGTTTGAATTTTGACCATTTGCCCACGCCTTGCCGCTTACAGTCTATCGATGGAGTAGATTAGATCAGTTCTTTTTTCATTATTATTGGCATTCAAACTTATTTTGCCTTGAAAATTCAGGCGGACAGCTGAGGTTTGATAAGAAATATCCAAAAGAGGAAACTCGTTGATTGGTGATGAGTATGCCAGTCATAAATATAATGGCTTGAATAATAAGGTATCAGGCGTAAGGTATCATTTGTATATATTATTTATATGATTTTGACTTGAATTGCTTGTTGCTTGATTGTGTTCTCATGTCAATGTTGGGCCAGATTCGTGTCAAGTTGGGTCAATGCGATGCTATCAGGTTATAGTCTTTAATTGCTTTATTGTCGGAGGCATAATGATTTCTCTCATTAATTTCAATTTCACGTAAAGTTCGCTGTAGAAAGCTGAATTTATGCTGAAATTTTCAACTTATTCGAGCAATATAAATGAAGTGGAATTATTGGGAGCGTGCTGCTGCGTAATACATGTTTCGAGGACGCTGAATGAATGTTTCGGGGTAGCTTGCTCCAGCTTTTTCCATTATAAATCAAGTCATCGGTAAATTTTGAGCTCCTTGAGTGTGGTTAGGGAATGCAACAAGTCTATAAGTGCATTGTATTTGTAATATTAATCTTTAAATATCGTGGGATTTTGGGCAAAAACGGAAAATTTTCTCCTCCTGCCATTATATTGCCTACCAGGTTTGAAGTTGTTCACAAAATATTTAACGACCTTGCACGTAATCACGCGCGTGAGTAAACAAACTTCAATTTTAATCTTCCATCGATAACATCCCGAATTTGTAGGCCAGCAGCCATCTTCCTATATTGACTTTTATAAGATTGAATGGTTTTGGCACGAGGGCAGACGATGGATAGTTATTGTTCAGCACCTTTTCTCTGCTATAACAACTAGTAGTTAATTTTCAGTGTGAACCGTCTTATAGCATGTGACATGTAATCTCTTTGAAATTTACAAATGTGCGCAACAAAATTTAGTCTGTTAAGTCAGCTCTTAGTCCGCGACCGCCGTGGCTCTCGAGTATCGAGGAGCGCAAGGAGACTGCGACGCTCCACAAGTAGTGATCCGCCTCATCTCTGGATGCTCAGCAATACCGTTCTTCAGTTACCCATTCATTATTTACGAGTACAATAGCATATGCTTATTAAAAACCGAAAATTAAATGAGGATTAAAGATATATTAAACTGCTGTGAAATTCATCAGAATGCAGGAGTTAGCATCTGGTATTTTTTCTATCATGTGCGACCTTCTGAAACAGTATAAGTATGTTTTTAATGATCGATCGTTGGCCGTCAGTGGTCAAATATGACACAGTGGATGTTGTGATCGGTGCTGCGTGTAATAGTGCAATCAGGCGTCAGCATTCGTCAGCATGCGAGCAGATTAGTAGTGAACCGCCATGCTTTTATATTTAGTTTGTATTTAAGAGTTTATTGCAAGAAAATAAATGTCGTTTTTTAGCATCCAGATAATTGTTTTCATTTACCTTTGGTGAATATTTACCAGCAAATGTACGGTTAAGGAAATCGCGATTTACCTTCATCGCTTACTGAATGCAGAATGAATTTCAGGGTTTAGCTCAATAAGTATACGGATCTGCCACGAATTGTTTGATACATTCGAATCAAGTCTTTCAAAGAGGCTGTAAATGACACACTATAGCCAACCCTTGAGACTTTAATAAGAGTTTATTCGATAATTCATATACATCGTGACTTGTGAAATTCGAAACTAATTGGTTATGACATGGTTCAATAACTATTGCATATTCAACTTAAGGCGATTGTCAACAAATATGAAGATATATGAACATACCACATAATTAAATACATACTGAGCTTAGAACTATCCCATGGGAGAGCAAATATGGCCCAATAAGTACACCTAGTAACTGTTGGAACCGATGAATTCTTTTTAAAATCAGTATGCATTCCAATAAGCGTAAATTTGTTTCAGCTGTGAAGACCGTCAAATAGTTAATATTGATAATGGAACCTCGTAATATAAGCTACACTGCTTACCGAGATGATATTCTTGGTGTTACGTCGCGATCTAAATTGTTATTATTTTTTTCTACAAAGCATTTATCGTAGCGTCTGGTTCAAACGAACTTCGAGGGCACGTCACACATAAGATTAATAGCAAGCGAAAAATAAATAAACGCAAGAAAGGATGGGAACGGATAAAATGACTAAGCACTAAATTCATAGGCTGTACGAAATAGTTCCGTCTTTAGGCGTTCCTGCAACGATCGAAGGACCCGAAGTTACGGATGCCGGCAGACTGTTCCAGCTGTTCTGCCGTCGGCGACCGGGAACGCTCGGTCGCCGAGGGTAGATAAACGTGTAGATGTAGATTCTCTTTCTCAAACGCCATGTTTGTCGCTTATTCGAGCACTGCTTCTGTAAGTTCTTAATAATTGAGTTACACGACTTGTATAAATCATTTACACACAAAGGATATAATGAAAAAATGAATTCAATATGAATATGCATCAAAATGTTAGGGTCATTCTTCATCAAGATGTGCTTGTAAGATTAGGTTATCTAAGCGTGGTGTTGGGTGTCAAGTGACAATTGAGACAACAAACTATTCTATTAGTGACGCATTCCACGACGACACGACTCAGCGCTCCTCTGATAACGGACCAGCGCGCACGAGCGTTGATGACGCCACTTTATCAAATGATGCGTCCAAATTAGCGAACCCACACCTAGCGAAAGTCAAGTCTGCGCTACCACGTCTAGAGAGTTAATAGGGTATTTGTAAACCACTAGTTTCTCTCGTTAAGCTTCCGGATATTCTGCAATTTGTTGATAATATCCATGTTGTAATTAACCGGTTCATTTGAAGTTGAATATCATTCTAAAATCTTGTGTGGGCGGAAACCCCCAACCGAAATATTAAATTAAGTCAAACAGGGCTTTTAAAACTTAGTCTAGGGAGATCGGGTTGCGAGCAATGATGGTCAGTAACAGTGAATAGTAATTCATGTGTTTCAGGCATTACGAAATGTTTAATACTTGATTAGTGATGTGAAAGTACTGACTAAGTACTTTAGTGTAGGAATTTATTGGTGTAAACGATCAAATATCTTCTCCTTTTCCAGGTTATAATTCAGCTGAATAAAGCTACAGTCTAGCCAAACTGTGCTTGAAACCTACATTATCTTCAGGTTTATCACAATATTATGAGTAACACCGGAAATTTGATTATAATTAATGTCAAGACCTCAATAGAAGTTGACCAAATCTACATGATAATTCAATGATGATGCATGATTCGTATTCAGCTGAAAGAGGGGTTCACTTGCTTCACTTTTTTTATCATTTATGTTGTAATAAAAAACAATGACTTGCTGTGGAGAAAATAATTGGAGCGTAACAAAGTCTTATTTTTCTGAATAGTGTATTCAAGGATGAAACTTTTTTTTTTTGTTTGTTTTTTTTTATAAAAGGCTTATATAAAAAGGCCTATAAAAAGGATGAAACTAAATTAGTGAACTTGATTGGCTCCCATACTAAAATAATTAAATCAAACTTCTCCAAAACCTGCGTCGTTCGTTTAATTTGTGAGAGGCATGGCTATATGAACGAGTAATTTTCTGCTCAAAAATGCTTCACTACAACTTGTTAACAAACTTACACGACTTACCTTCGTCGCTTAATGAAAAGAGTAAGCATGTCACTACTTGCTGGTAGAATTAAAAATTATTCTACAATTTAATTTACTGAAATTTATTTCTTCGGACAGGTGTGCTGCAAATCCTTTAAAACACATTAGTTGTTTTGACGCAAAAAAAAAACAAAGATATAACAAAGAGCACGCACGGAACGATTAGTCGTATAAATTAAATTTTCGTCAATTAGGTGCCAAATTCATAGCCTCTGAATCCATCTCTACTGAACATGTTCCTAAAAGCGTATTAAATCAAAAAATAGATACAAGATGCATTTTTCCTTACTGAAGTGAACAAATCAGACTCACTTAAGACGTTTAGCCTAGTGATAGCGGCGGCCCTTCAAGCTAGAACTTCACTTCTAAATGTCTCCCGGGAATACCTTTCAATAAATAAGCGTCATGGCGCACAGTCCAGACATTTGTTGCGCTCGGAGTTATCTTCCACACGGCACCAAGCGCCCAGCAGACGACGACTCCCAACTAAGATTTGGCGGACCATGGTTCACTACCACACGCCTAGCAGACGACGACTCCCACTCCTAAATTTAGTAGGGGACTATTTACTACCAAGCGACTAGCAGACTACAGCTCTACCTAAAAATTCAGCAAGCGACGATTTACTACCAAGCGGCTAGCAGACGATGACCTTCATCTAAGATTTAGCAGATGGCGGTCGCTCCCAAATCTTGCAATGAATTCCATCTAAAGTACAGCAGACGTCGTCACCCAACCAATAAGTTGAAAAAGTCTCTCAACTTTGCTCATTTGTGGTCCATGAATGCCTCGAGTAAAATATGAGTTTTCCTTTGGAGTTTTGGAGCGGTACCTACTATACCGCTAACAAGAACATGTTAACGTCACGACAAGGATCCGTGTGACTTATGGAATTGGTTGTTCCAGCGTCAGCCCTTTCTTTCTCGGGAGCTTCCACGATCTTCTTCGACACGCCGCGTTGTCTAGAAGTGACCATCATTATTGAAATAAATGTATTCAAACTATATTACGTAATGGTAGTTATATATTTGAAACTTTACATTTAAAGTCTTTAAATGACACCCATGCGGATTCTTTATGCAAACTCGTAAATTTGAGCCGGAGTTATCTTCAATACATGCATACAGAAATAAAAAAAGTCAATAAGCTAATCCTGCCATCCAAGATCATTTTTGACTGCGAATCGCCCGCCCAGTGTAAAATGAACAAAAGGTTGAAGACTTACGGTGGTACGTTACAAGTACTTTCATTGGGCATTGAATGAAAAACTAATATATAATTGAATCAATATATCTGCAGAAATTCCAGTTTCTTTGCCGATAAAACCTAATAATCATAACGGTCCGAAACAGCGTGTTTGAAAAAATTCCGTCCAAAAAAAACAATCAGCTGGATTATTATTACCGTATGACTGCCGCAGTACGTTGAGCAGGCATAAGAATGGCTATGAATCGGCCGGAAGTCGGCCAGCGCTGATCTAGCCTTCATTCTCAATAGTTTATGAAATAATAGTCGCATGCCTATAAAGAATGTCGAGGGTCTGTCGTTAATGTCAAGTTTCATTGAAACACTGTGAATGACATATAAATGGGTCAATTAACTAGATATGTGTAAGGGCCAGAATTATAAGATGATTTTCAAATATAATGTAGTAAGGAGGACAATGTCGCGTAAAATATTATGAGTGTTCGGGCATGTTAACAATAAATCACATTATAAAAAGTCAGCGTTAAAAATAGATTTTAGGAAGTCATGTTATCAAAGGCTGGTTAATGACCACTGTTCATTTATTGCTGGTCAACAACTATCGTTCATCAGTTGCTGCTCAACAACTGCTCATGTTCAGCTGCTGCTTCATGACTGGCGTCCAACAAACTTAACCTCTCTTATTCCTGAGCTGAAGGCAGAACTGAGGACTTGTGTTGAAGCAATGTAACCTCTCTGAGACTGAGACGACATCACCTATTCCTGAGCTGAAGGCAGAACTGGGAATTTGTGTTGAAGCAATGTAACCTTTCTGAGACTGAGACGACTTCACCAGTTTCTGAGCTGAAGGCAGAACTGGGAATTTGTGTTGCAGCATGTAACCTCTCTGAGACTGATATTACTTCACCTCTTCCTGAGCTGAAGGCAAAACTGAGGACTTGTGTTGAAGCAATGTAACCTCTCTGAGACTGAGATAACTTCACCTGTTCCTGAGCTGAAGGCAGAACTGGGAATTTGTGTTGAAGCAATGTAACCTCTCTGAGACTGATATTACTTCACCTCTTCCTGAGCTGAAGGCAAAACTGAGGACTTGTGTTGAAGCAATGTAACCTCTTTGAGACTGATATTACTTCACCTGTTCCTGAGCTGAAGGCAGCCAAAGGAGGATCGGGCTGCGAGGCTCGCGAGCTGCCCATAACTCACGTCGCAATAAGGAGTTGCGCGTGCACAGCACAAGCGTAATTGGCCACCAGGGTCAGCGGATGGCACTTGCTCACGCTTGGCTAGTTGCCCATAGCCATAATACAAGTTTAAGGCGGTGCTTTGTTGGCCGACGAACGACTGCCCGTCAGCCAGGAAAGATGTGGCTTTAATTTTCAATCCGGAGTGATCCGTCCTCTGGTGCAATGCAAACTTCAACGACACCGCCTTCGTTCTGGGTCATTTGCCAGGTCAAGTCTGCACCGCGTCGCTTCTCCTTCTCATGTGAGCTGCTTGCTTCACTTGGCTTTTGAGCCCCGTGTCGGTGTTTGACTAAAAACAACAAAATGAGAGTCTATTTCCAATCTTATAATTATCTACAAGGATATTGCTGATGGTATCTCCAGTATCTTAAATTTTTTCAACTCCCGATCTCTTGATTAACTCCAAATAAATGGCTTCCGTATAGTGTCGTCACTAATATTTGTAGAGCTTCAATAGCAATCAAGTTAAGAAAGTTCTTTAAAAGAATCACAGAAATAATTCGTTTTCCCAATCAAGTACCTCTTGTCATTGCCTCTTCAAGTGAGCTCGTTGGTAGCTAAAGTATAATTTGAAGCAAATTCAACAAGAACCCCAGTGATTTGAGGCTTTAGATTTCAACAAAACATCCTCGTTCCGCTAAACTTTCCCACTAAAACCTGAAAAGATCTTCAACTAGAGCTGCCCGATCGGTTGCTTATTGTAGAATTCCTTCAATTGTATTTGTGAGCGAGCCAACACGCCGCACATCTTGGGTCTGCCTTTCTCAGGCGTGTGAAAGCGAGTCTTCTTTTCCACTGTGAAATCTAAAATAATCTTCTGTATCCGATGACCGAGTGAAAGGCAATTTCTCTAAAAAAGTGAACATTTTTATTGTTTATTAAATTTATGCGGTAGTTGCTCCATCTTGTTCGATTCACCATTTAAACAGTACTTACCGAATATTATTCAGTACTTACTCGTACATTCTAAATTTAACTTGCGAGAACTCTCGCTTTTCTTGTCTGTATATGAAGAAAAATTAATCCATTATCTATGAAACTACCTGAACCTTATCATATTCGACCAAACGTTTAGGAAAATTGAGGAAGAACAACCATAAAGATTATTTTAAATGACATGCATGTGATCACCGAAACAATCACCTTGATCCGTAATAGATGCCGAAACCATAGGCCCGATTATTGTGTATTTCTAGATTACACTTGTCTCCAAATAGCAAGTGCAACTCAGCAGAATACGTTTTACCTAATATTAGGTTTGTCCATTAGTGATACAAAGCTTATGTAAGTTGGATGTCAAATTGTATTAGCAGCTTATCTTTTATCAGGCATCAATCACTTTGCTCCACCACTTTAACTTACGGTGGCTGTAATTTGAATAAAGGCGCGGTGTTCGAATTTCGTCTCCGCGATTGAAGGGATAACGCGTAACACCAACGTATTCAATTTAATTTGATCGTATATTCATTCGGATAAAACCTGAATTTAGATTACTATATAACGATTTTAATTTTTTTATAACGTACCCTTGAGCTTGCAAGCCAACTATCAAGTTAGGTTAATTTCAGTGCAATGCAGCGCTCAAGGAAATTTTTTATAGAAAACTTTTCCAGTTTTAAATTTGACTCAAGCCTGAAAAAAATTAGTCAAGTATCTTGGATACCAGCATCTCTGTACTTCATATTCAAGTAATATGAAGCACATTAATCGAGTATCTTTTATACCAGCTGTACCCAGTAGGAGTACTGCATCGCTGTACTTCATATTCAAGTAATATGAAGCACACTAATCGAGTATCTTTTATACCAGCTTTACAATACACGTTAGTTTTATTATGAGGATACACATCAGTTTATATTGCCGCAGCAAAGCATATTATCAATCATGTTGCTATGAGTAGCACCGCGTATGTAATAAGTCATCACAGAGCAGATCAATGAAGAATTAAGTCATGTGACCACAATTCCTATATGTTATATGTGATGGAAAAGTCTGACACCATATGATTATATCTTATATCGCATACATCACATCTTATTACTTATCACGCTTAAGCGTGACGTGTAATTCGTATAACGTGTAACGTACGGCGGAGCATATATGTCGCTGAGTGGACCCTATTGGCTGTCTATTGTGTGCCCTGAAATAAACACTTATGAGTGAACAAAGGCGTCGTGTGAAGGTCTTGTGACGCCATCACTTGTCGCAGCCGCAAAGCTTTCTTCAATTCGTCTATTGTGGGGCGAGGAGGCTTATCTGTATTGACCAGCGATCACCTCCAGCAAATTGTCTACGTTTCTTCAAGATATCGAGAAATCTTTTCATGGCTTCGAGTGAAGGAACATAGAAATGGGCATAAAAATGATCGTAGGCAGAGACCTGAGTTCTGTCGATCAGATTTAATTCTTTGTTCGCACATTGAGAAACTGTGTGACAGTTGAGTAGAGCTGCCTGCGTGTTAAGATTTGTCAAGAACTCGGCTCGTATTGTTATCTTTTGGTCGTTTTATACTCAGGAATAAATCATTTTTCGTCCAGCAATAACTCCTGTTGAAAATTAAAAAAAATATAACTCAGTACTCACTGCAGTGAGTGACAGAGAGCGCATTTTCTCGTCGACGAAAACTTGAAGTCACGGACGGACAGACGGACAGACGGACATGACGAGCACAATAGTGCATTTTTTCCATAAATGAGAAAATACTCTAAAAAGAAAACTGAGTCTAAGTTTTCCTTAGTAACTAGAATTCAGTACAATAGGTTATGATTGCTCGCGAAGAATGACAATATTTATGCCATAAATAAATTATCCTACTCGCAAAATTATATGTCTTGAATTTGAACTAATCGCGGTGCACAAATCCACATGACAGGAAATAAATATGCCTGCGTAATTATGTCTGAGAATTTGGCCACGTCAGAGACGCATGCGCACGCACGCCGCCCCAGGCGCATCGTGACGCGGACCAGGCGCGAGAGCCACGTTGTGGCTGTGGCTCATCCACACGCCACAGCCACATGGGCGTGCCACACATCATCCACACGCCACAGCAATGGGTGTGCCACACATCATCATCCACACGCCACAGCCATGGGTGTGCCATACATCATCATCCACACGCCACAGCCATGGGCGTGCCATACATCATCATCCACACGCCACAGCCATGGGCGTGCCATACATCATCATCCACACGCCACAGCCATGGGTGTGCCACACATTTTCATCCTTGCACCAAAATTGGCAGTTGTTGATGTGCCATAGCCACATGCCATACAGCAACCAAATTGTGGATATGGTTTAATACTGAAATCCTTCATGGTGAGCGGAGAGTGAACTTGTGAGATGAATTAATTGAAGGGATTGCCTTACAACTGAACACTTGTGAGGTGAGTTGTAAGGATTGCCTTACAACTAAACTCTGAGGTAAGTTGTAAAGAGGTTTTATTGTGAGGTGATTATCAAAAAAGTTAGTGTGCTCATAATATAGAGTTCAGGACGAATGAAATTTTTCTTTATCATCACAGCCCTGCAAAACTGCAACAGGAATTAAGCAGCCCTTATGACAGTACAACTGATGATCAACGTAACGATTCGTGTGCATGCGCCTTATATTGGGGTCCCGCCCTCGGACTTCGAGAAACTTGAGGAGTGAGCTTCACCAACGTCATCTAGTAAGGTTTTTGTTGTAGTTGTTTTATAGGTTTGAGGTACATTGAGTAGTCATAGTTATGGGGTACATTGAGTAGATTTATAACTATGAGGTACATTGAGTAGATTTATAGGTTTGAGGTTCATTGAGTAGATTTATAGTTTTGGGGTACATTGAGTAGATTTATAGTTTTAGAGTACATTGAGTAGATTTATAGCTTTGGGGTAAATTGAGTAGATTTATAGTTTCGGGGTAAATTGAGTAGATTTATAGTTTCGTGTTACATTGAGTAGATTTATAGTTTTGGGGCACATTGAGTAGATTTATAGCTTTGGGGTACATTGAGTAGATTTCATAGCGTAACGCCCTGCCTAATTCACTCAACTGAAATAAGCTTCCGATGTATGGATGATACCGTTTGTTCAGATGCAGATCGCAAAATTCATATTTTTGCAATTATAAAACCTCAACAAGGTTCTCGTCATGCACATGCCCAACATCTATATGTCCAAGTGTAAAATTTACCTATCACTAAGGGCTTCATTCAACAGGTTAGAAAACCAAGAATAAAATTACTGAATACTTTACTAAGAAATGAAGATTTGTGCGGAAAATAAATCAACTTTCAACACAATTTCACTTCAAATATTATCATGATTGGAGTAATATAAACTCAACATTACCTCGCTGAAGCACTGCGTACTTTTTGAATACAAACTAGCAACCTAAAGGAATGGTTAAGATCGAGAGCCGTGGCCGTCTAAGTGTCATAAGTGTTCGCTGTTGTTAAAGGCAATTGAACACTCTATATAATGAACTGAGTCTGTGCATTTTCCAGGGAGTAAACAAGTAGCGCAAGTGCAAGTCCAGGTTTACCAATACTTCGTGAAAACCAAACATGCGAACAGCCGGATTTCGCTCCGAAATAATTTCACAATCAGTAGATATATTCTAGCTAGCTAAAAATCAATTCAGTTTTCACTTTAGCAACTGAGTTCAGTCACTTTCGTCACTCAGAGATCGTATGTGATCAGTACCCTGGATGTCGGCAATGTTTCGAATATGACCAGCAATGATGTTTCATTCGACTACAATATCCCGATTTATTTTGAAATGTGGTGAAAATATACAAAAATATTTCTTACATTCCGGTTTCCTGCTATCAAATACCAAATGTAAAAACACATCAAAATGAGGAATAGGGGCGAATATTACAACGACTATGTTCTATTTGAAATAATATAGGAATCACTAAATTTGGTGAAAAGTTCAGGCAGATTGTGACACAAAACTTTTAGCATATCAAAATGAATTTAATTGATTTTAAAAAGTGCGAAACGGTTCAGGAATAGAGCTAAACCATCGCTCGAGAACGGAATATTGAAGACAGAGAGTTATTAATCATTTTAATAGATTTAAGCAATTAAAAAAAATTATTTTCGTTAGATGTGAATTCCCATTTTCCGACCCACAAACAGTTGCTCCTTACCAAACTCTGCACAAAAGACTTTAAGATAATTTTTTCAGGATATTTTACCCGACGTAAAATTTCAATCATTTCACTCCATGCATAATTGCTGCAATGCTGAAGGCTCTTCTGCTTACTGGAATCGTATCTTCGTCTTTCATTTGAGTGTCTCGCTTCTTTTCCAAAGCTTCTTCTTCCGATTTAGGCTTACTTGAAGCTCCATGAGAACCTGGAAGGCCCTTAGATGTGGTTCTCGTGTTGTTTTCCTGAGCGTTCTTGCTCGGATTTTTAGATTCAACATGGCGCTGCTCCAGTTGCAATCTGGAGAAAACACTGGAGGCTGGTGCCACCTTAGGGGCGTCTGCCGCTACGTTGCTGCGCCATGTAGCTGATGTCATGAGCTGCAAGTGAAATACGGTTAAAATCATCGCATATCAATAATTCAAAAGCAATTATATATTCAAGCTTTTCACAAACATGATTAATATTATAGTCAGTTAAAATAATTATTCTCGTGGTTTTATTTTCTAGACACCACGACACCTATAAAGTAATTCTCATTAGAAGCAATAATGAGGACTGTGTGTTTCAGCTGAAAACTATTGAAAACGTCGCAGTAAGTTCATTTACTGTTCACTTCAAATCACTTCATGTATTAAAAGTTATCAATGGATGAAAATTGCATTCGATATGATAATTAAGCTTACTTCAGATTTCCGTTTCGAAGTCTTAAAGCTTTCTTGGTCGCCAGGAAAATTTTCGCTCAGCGATAGTTCGTGAATTTCCTCATGGTTGACATCTTTTGGACCACGACGATTTCCTCCGTTGCATTCGTGGAGATCATCAGAAGATTGACTCATGCAGAAGTCTCTTGTTCCTAAGAGTGCATGATGACCAGAATTGTTGTTCATGCCCCAGTAGGAGTGTATAGGAGTGGCATCGCCAGACAATTCATCTTCCGCGGCCTTTATGCTGTCGGTCACTTCCTTGAAGGCATTTGTCAATGGCTGCAGAGACATGACATGGTCGGTTGACGAGTGTGTGGTAGTTAGGTGTGAGGGGTTGAAAGAAGTTAGGCACGATGCGGTCCCCATCTCTCCGGCAATTCCTCCGCTGTGGGTCAAAACGTGTCTTCTAAGGTCACAGTTTCTTCTGAACACCTGCCAGAAGATTTAAAAAATGTTCAGATCTGCACTGTTTCTGAGAAAATCTAAATTTCGCATCATCAGTATAAAGTTGATAGGATTGTCTTTCCAACTTTGAAGAACAAAAGCTTATGTCACCTCTATGAAATTACCTGGCAGCATGTGGAAGGACCACCAATTTCGTACCATTTCGTGTGACTGGTTGTTACTATTTCGAAAATCTACAGAAGGCAACTTGATTGTACCTTATTTAATTTGCGCTCTGTTTGAAGATATTCTGTACCTTACCGTGACTACTCGTGGTTGAACTACTAGTTGACATGACTACTTCAATCTATGTTCAACCAACCCATGACTTCAACCTATGTTCAACCATGGTGACTACTTGTCCAAGTCTATGCAGCTATATGGTTGCTTGACTTTTATAACATATTTATAAGGAAAACGTTTACAAATCGCCCACAATTTCACATAACTTCTGATATCCTTAACATAACTATTAATATGATATCGAAAAATCCGTTTGGTTTTAAGATAAATATTTGAGAACATCATGAAAGTATCACTAATACACTTTTTGAGATAATGATAAGCAGACTTATTACCGAATCGTGATCAATTGCGTCCATATTGATATTGCTAACGAATAAATAAAAACTTAGTGTGAACTTTAATTTCGTTTCAAATAAGTCTACCTCATCGCAGAACTGAGTAGGTTTCCCTTCAATGTTCTTCGCAGAATGTGATTCTCTATAGCCTTTTGGTGTTGTCATTAGAAACTTTCAGTTGCCCTATATAGTGGGAACCTAACCATCGCTTTACCGACGGTCACTCTTTTCACAGGCCTTTAGTACGAAACGCATTGACGGCAATTAATGTATCCGGACACACATGCCTTAGTCTGAGCGTACCTTATCACAGAAACGACAAGTGTAGGGCTTGAGGTCGGTGTGTGTGAGGAGGTGAGTTTTGAGGTTGCTGCGCTGGTTGAAGGCTCGGCCACAAGTGTGACATTTGTGTGGAGACTCGTCTAAGTGAAGGACTCGGTGCACTGCCAGGGTGCGGCTCTGGCAAAACCCTTTACCGCAGTCTGTACACTTGAATGGCTTCTCCTTGCTGTGTATGTACCTGCAGCCAGAGAATCAGAAACTTTATTGTTGATTCGTCAGTCGCGAGGTTGTGAAAGGGAAACTGCAATCATTATTGTGATGAATATTGCTTCATGAGCAGACTCAACTTCAGGATAAACCATATAATGTTGACTCTGTTCACGGATGTTCAAACTCTTAGGATATGTTCATGAAGTGGCGGTCTACTTACGTGGATATTCATATCTAAATTCAACTGATTTATATTTTAGTAATGATCTACTGCACATTACAATGTTGAAAAATTTCATACATATTGCTTAGCGAATGATGTTTTGCTAACAACATTTTTCTTTAATCCATCATTGTCTGGTCATAACATCTGACTTTAATCCAACATTATCTGGTCATAGCATATTTTTTAAATCCAACACTGTCTGGTCACGGCATCTTTCATTAATTCAAAACTGTCTATGATCACAGCATCTTTCTTTAATCCAACACTGTCTGGTCACAGCATCTTTCTTTAATCCAACAGTCAGGTCACAGCATTCAATTTGAGTGTAATTTTTCCAGAGCATGCTTCTCAGCAAAGCTGCTTTACTAACAATTTTCAAAATGAGATGCATAATCTTGCTCGGGAACATCAATTTGTTGGAGTAGATTGATTTTGTTTTTCAAATTGACGTACACTTTTGTGCTAGAGTTCATCATTCATCAATCACCGGGATTAGTTCGCTTTAAAATTTCTACCTGAAGCACATATCCTGGTTCCCTTCTATCACTTGGATTATTTTGCTATAATTTCACGCATTTTATATTCTCGTCCGTTTATTGAATAAGTTCACATTCTTGATAAAAATTAAAGCAAACCATATTGCTGCTGTTATTCCGTTAGTTGAATTAGGTTATAAGTGTTATAAAGTGAGGCAGATTAGGTTACGGTAGTGTTACAAAGTGAGGCAGATTAGGTTTCGGTAGTGTAATAAAGTGAGGCAGATAATTATACGGTATAATAAAGTGAGGCAGATTAGGTTACGGTATAGTGTTATAAAGTGAGGCAGATTAGGCTACGGTATAGTGTCATAAAGTGCGGCAGATAAGGTTACGGTAGTGTTATAAAGTGAGGCAGATTAAGTTACGGTAATGTTATAAAGTGAGGCAGATTAGGTTACGGTATGTGTTATAAAGTGAGGCAGATTACGTTACGGTATAGTGTTATAAAGTGAGGCAGATTACGTTACGGTAGTGTTATAAAGTGAGGCAGATTAGGCTACGGTATAGTGTTATAAAGTGAGGCAGATTGGGTTACGGTAGTGTTATAAAGTGAGGCAGATTAGGCTACGGTATAGTGTTATAAAGTGAGGCAGATTAGGTTACGGTAGCGTTATAAGTGAGTCAAATTTTAACTCAACGAATGTATTTTATTCTGTTAAAACAAGTTCCAAATTCCAAAAATTTGCACATTCCTCTTAATTTGAATGCTGCAATAATATTTACAGTTTCACCACAAATTTAATTTCTATACGGCATAAAATGTTGTCATAATTTAAAATACACTCGAAAAACCTCACAAATGCTACCTCTCCAGGGAAGCATTTAGTCAATTGAGTATCGCCCTCACCTGTGGTCCCGGAGATGGTCCTGTCGTCTGAAGGATTTATTGCAGATATCACATGTGTACGGCCGCTCGTCGGTGTGTGTCCTCTCGTGAATCAGCAAATTATAACTTTTAGTGAAGTTTCTATTGCAATACTTGCAAATGAACTGCTTCTTGGGGCGAGCAGCGCGTGTCCGCGAGCTGTAAGGCCTCTTGAAGGGCGGTGTTGCGGCCTGCATTGCAGAAGACTCTTCATTGAGCATTCGTTGAGGACACATTATCTTTGACTCAGAGTTCGGGCTTGTCTGACTCGGTGTGACGGGTAAGTCAATTTGCTGCTTTGACTGAAGATAATGTTGATTGTTTCTACTGTTTGTTATAATTGACCGATAGAATGGACTGAAAAGTAAAGGATAACTACCGGCAAGAAGAGGCAGAGTACGGAGAGTAGCTGCCAATGGACTCAGGAAAGCTTCACTACCTTTAAATTGCTTCTCCTCTACTTGTGTTTCATGATCATTAACTGAATTCCTTGAAACGCTTTCGGCAAGATTCGCAAAGTCAAACTTGGAGCTGGTGTTGGCTGGAGATCCTACTTTTGCCGTCTTAGAGAGGCGCGACAGCTCGAGGTAGGATTCAAAAGTAGACAGGTTTACTAAAGGCGTTGCCTCGTTTGGTGACAATCTGCACATCGTCGGGAAGACTGCGCTGAAAGCCGACAAATGACGTCGGGCGTCAGAAGCCATAGAGCCTTGAACTGCCGCCATAACTATCAGAGATGCCTTGTCCCACAACACTTGTTCGGGAGGCGGACTTGCGGAGCAAGAAGATGCAGCAGAGGAGTGCAGATCACACGTCATACCTGACGCAGGGCACAGCACCGCAGCGACTACTGGCGTAACTCGTCGAGCACCGATAGCTTCCAGGGCGCGGCGTGCAGAGCGCAGTAGCAGCGTCGCTCCATACGGCACCCGCGGGTCTCGTCCTCCCGTTGCCCTTCTTCCCAATCACGTCTCCTGCAGGTGCATTTCCGGGTCACGCTTCTACAACTTGCCGCAGTTTTTGAGCGAGAGAAGTTTCATTGGATTTTCAATAGCATAAAGAAAGACGAGTGCTTAGAATTCCTTCTGGTCAAATTTAAAACTCAAATCATTCTTGAATTTTCTGAATCAGTTTCAGAGTTATGGCTCTTGACTACTCGAAGAGATCTTCTGATAAATCGTTGCTGGCTGCAATTAAATTGCAGGACGCGCCCTACATAGTCCGCCTCTGCACACTGGTAGCCAATGAGGCCGGGGCTAGGGAAGCTACTCGAGGTTTGTCCGCCAGTAGCTGGCAACACCGACTTCTGGACTCCGCCCGTGCGACCAGTTCTTAAAAAACGAGTCGGTGGAGGCACTGTGAGGAGGGAAGGGGGGAGGGAGTTGTGCGCCATAAAGGTGTGTGGAAGGAGTTTAGTGGAGAAAAAAAAAGAGATAACTAGGGACTTTGGTCGTTGCATTTCATTCCCAGACGCGACGGTCTCGGAAGGAAGATTTTCACATCACAAACCATGAGCTTTGGGAAAACAAGCCACGAAATCTTGCGCGCGAGAAAGCGTTCGAGGCGCGTGAGATGACAATGAGCGGAGCATAAAAATTTATGAGAGACCTCGCGGGCGGTGGAAAAAAGACGTGGCGCTCGACTTGTGTTCGCTCGTAAACTGTCGCGAGAGACACAATTCTCGACACCAATTGTGCGGCCTGTGTGTTGTGTGTCGTGTGTGTTGTGTGTGCGGCGGTTGTGTCGAGTGTGTTGTGTGAGCAGGGGTTGTGTCGAGTGTGTTGTGTGAGCAGCGGTTGTGTTGAGTGTGTTGTGTGAGCAGCGGTTGTGTTGTGTGAGCAGCGGTTGCGTTGAGTGTGTTGTGTGAGCAGCGGTTGTGTTGTGTGAGCAGCGGTTGTGTTGTTGTACATTGTGTGTGTTGCGTGAAGGCATTTGAGTTGTATATGTGTTGTGAGAGATATTTTTTGTGTATGTTGTGTGAGGGCGTTTACGTTGTGTGTGTTGTGTGCGAGAGCACTTTTCTTGTTCCTTGTATATGAGCTGAGGTTGTATTCTGTGAGTGTTGTGTGGAGGAAGTTGTGTTGTGTTTGTCTGTTTTGAGTGATTGCATACGAGTAGGGTGTGTATAGGGTGTGTTTCGTGTGTGTACGTGTAGCGGCTTTATTTACTTTGAACGTGACTGTTCTTAAATGAGACGACTTTCTAGAGCAGCTGCGATGTTTTGCACCTTGCGACCTTGTGATGAGTTTAGGACGTCGTAGTCCACGGTCACGCTGATGTTCCACCTTCGTCGTCCTCCGTCTCCGAGTCGTCGCTAGGCAGGTCACCCCGGCCGCCCTCTGGTCCACGGGCCGCTCATGTTGCAGAAATGTGATTCGCGTATTGCATGCCATTCGTAATATTGCACACTTAGTTCATATTCGTAAGATAATGCGAATATTGATATAATTTAGACGTTAATATAATATATTGATATAATAATTCGTAATATTGCACATAAATGTTGAGCACACTTTATACGACATTCTTCATGCTGCAGCAATGTTTAGCACACATTATACAACATTCTTCACGCTGCAGCAATGTTTAGCACACATTATACAACATTCTTCACGCTGCAGCAATGTTAGCACACATTGTACAACATTCTTCACGCTGCAGCAATGTTGAACACACATTGTACGGCATTCTTCACGCTGCAGCAATGTTAAGCACACATTGTACGGCATACTTCACGCTACAAGCATGAAAGCGCAAATTTTACGGACTTGTTCACAAAACACTCACTATCGCCGCTCAAAGCTGGTTACCAATTATTAGACTCCTAAAATGCAGCAAATTATAACGGCTATATAAGCAATACCTGTACTCCTCCAAAGGTTCGATCGCTTTTCATTGTTAAGAATGCCGCTCTGAAAAAATCGCAACGTTTTCGATCTCGTGACAAATTAAATCAATGAGTCATAAATTAGATTGGTTCAATAAAAGTGTTTTGCAAAGTAGTGTTCATAAATTTTAATAATTACATGATAACATACATAGCAGTCACGATGTCTTAATTAGCCATTATTTTGTTCTGCATCTAAAAATAACGCCGTGAGCGATGGGTAAATAATGTTACCGATCACTCATGAGTAACTAAGCCGCGTGCAGTGCTTAATTTACATCGCAATCGTTTCGTTATTGCCTTTAGCCCCAGGCATCAGTGAGTCACAATATAGTTGTTAAAAATACTAATTTGCAAGTAAGGTATTATTTCATTCTAAAATAAATTTTTTATGAAGTTACCGACTGAGTCAAGTTTATATATTGTTATGGAAACTCATGCAGAGTTTTAATGCGCGTCATCCCATTACTTTTCTTCCATCATACTAATCCCATTCACTTAGATTCAGACTTCTTCTTTATCGTTTTTAAATAAAGCATTAATATTTTTATTTCAAGACCAACAGCAAGAAACGGAAATATCCATTTAGTAACATTCGTGTAGAGATACAAAAACTCGAGAAATGCAGTACTTAAAACATTCGATGCGCCAGTGTAGCACAATTCTTCTAAAGCCCTCGTCAAAATAATGTATCAGTCGGCAACCTCATTCTATAACATCATGAACATGAATATATCGTAAAATCATAAACAAATAATCAACCCATTCTATAACAATTTATATACGACTTATATAATTTATATATGATCCACTGTGCTCGTACTCTTGAAATTCTGCCACACAGTCTCGGCAAGAAAGCTTCTCACTTGAAACCTGCACCTAATGAGAACAAACGAGTGTCTTGTTTTGGGTGTAACCTTTAGCCTGGTGAAAGCAATCTGGCGGGATGCCCGCTGAGTTTTATTTTATTAAGTCATTAACCCGCAGCGGGAGATGCAAAATGTTATTGGAAACCATGCCCCGCCTCTTTGTGCGGTGCCTCCGTTCCGGTGCTTCCATCAATTCCTGCAGATCATTGCTAATATTCTCGCTCCCAGGGTCCTCCCTGATGACTTGTACCAGAACGCGTTATCCTACAAATCAATCATCGTTAGTTCAGAGAATTCAATTAATGTGCCAATCCACAAAACCTTTTATCGCAACGAACGCAATGGGAGACTGTGCGCTCGCTTTTGTGCATGTTGATCCAAAACCGAGGCCAGTTGCAGACATTAGCAGGAAGCTGGGAATTTCCAAACTAACGCTCATTGATCTTATTTCGAAATTGAGGGACGCATTTTCATATGAATATTGAAACTATCAAATTGATCTCTGGATAATTCAGACCAACGTAAAAATCGCTGTACTGTAGACTTATTATAATGAAATCCAAGAAACGACATCTGCACATGTCAAATTTTTTATAAAAAATTTAATTTTTTTATAATGAAAATTAATATTTATAGCATAATCTGCATACTGTTTTCTTCAGAGCAGCATATAGGACAGAAATTATCGCTTACTAATCAGTTTACTTTGCCTTCGATGCCGCCAATGTTATACGTGCATATACGAGTATTTATAATCCTCTTCAATATCATCAACACCTCACGGACAGTTTCATGTCCCAGCTGATTTCCATACTTGAACAAATTGAATAAAAGTATTGCATCGCGTTTTGTGTTCACGAAAACATTGAATTCATCAGGTCTCCTGAATGTACTGTACTTCACGCTTTAGACTCATTCCTCAATAATGTATTTAGTAAGTTGTCAATAATAGGTTTATCCTTTTATCTGCGTTGCAGGTATAATAATATAAAAAATATAATATAATACAATATAATATCATACAATTTAATATAATATCAAATAATATTATTGTAACAGTAACACATGGTAAAAAGTCAGTGAGCGGCAAGTTAGTTTGATGGTAGCAAACTCACATTTAAATATATAAAATCTAAATCACACTACCCTTTACGGGAGCGCAGCCGTGCACCACCAATTTTGTGCACCAATAAGCCCTGAATCGAACGCCTTGGATCTCTCCGGATATCCACCAATCAGCCGTGCACCACTCGGCTTTGTCCTCCTCCTGCCTTGACCACCACCTGCCGTGCACCACCAGGCCGCGGATCGAATCTGACTTCCGGGCATCGTTAAATTACGTAGTTTTACGTTCACCGCATCTGAGGTTAGGTTTCAGATAGCATAGTTCTGTTCCAAAATTTATCGTCCTTCGACAAGTGGCCGTTCGACCGAGGGCTGGTTCGACCCACGGCCTAGATACGGACGGCTTGAAGTGTTGAAGGCTATGTTCCGGAAGGCAGGAATCATGATGGTCCATTACATCCAGGGCAGTTGTGGTCTTCGGCAGGCGATGCGCCTTTACACTAACTAAAGAAATGAGCAGACTGGCGATTTCACGCAGTTAGCTACTTGAAAAAATGCTACTCTCGAAGTGTTAGACAGTAGACACAAGCTGAGAAATGCTTTTTTTTTGTTTCACTGATGACTGAAAAGGTAAACATTTATATCAACAACATATGAAAATTGCACTGTAACATCAAATAAACTTTGTCGTAGTGACTAATGAGAAAAAAATATAATAACTCAGTACTCACTGTAGTGACTGACAGAGAGCGCATTTTCTCGTCGACGAAAACGTAAAGTCACAGACAGACGGACTGACGGACATGACGAGCACAACAGCGGCTTTTTTCCATAAATGAGAAAATGGTGTAATGTGTTTGGGGTAACTCAAATAAATTTTGCTATTCTAAATCCTAACAGTCTTTCATAGTTTTCAACGGGTAATAGCTTCATAACATTCATTTTCTGTTACGGCGTTTAAAACGGTTTAAAATTTACTTCCACGAGTTGTTTTCTTGTCAATCTAGGAGTGAATTTCTTATAGAGAGGCAATCCTAAACAGGTTTTCGTTGCGCCCTTGCTGTATTTAATGCATTTTCTTTTACATTGGGTATACTAAGCATGCATCTAATCGTTCATTAATCAAGTATTCTAACTAGCGTCCAGATCATACACAAAAATATTATTTTTTAAAACATCTTTATTGTTTTACCGCTCCCGTTTCATTCCATTTGTCGTCGTTAGAGCTCGAATCGACATTTATGCGGTGGTGAAGTAATATGCAGCGCCAGATATCAACGCAATTGATTGGTCATCGGGAAATGAAAATAAAGCCTTGCTCTCGTTACGACTAAGCATTCTATAAACTTAAGCAGCAGTTGCCCGATTTTTTTCTTCAGATTTAACTCGCCCAAAATTTTTTTTAAATAAACTAATAAACCGAACAACGCAAATTCTAATTTCTGTCTCATTTTTATTACTTGCAGCTCTAATTTATTTTGGTTATTTAAGCTTAAAATTTGGCACTAAATATTCGAAAAAATCTTCTTTTGAATAAATTGCACACCGTTCTATAGTGAATTGAGTTTACAATTTATTTTCACAGCTGTATTCTAAAGCCGCCGTAAGGAGATGAGACGATAATTTAGTCAGCTCGTGCGTTCGAGGTCTTGGGGCTGAGAGGTGTGGAGTGGCTTGCTGAGTAGTGCGTGGCTTCAAGTAGATTTACCTATTAATTGTCATCACTTGTATCTTAGTAAATTTATTAGTTGGTTTAATTATGCTGAAGATGGAGGAATCGAACCGCAAAACAGCCCCGCCAGCTGAAAGTTGGGAAGAAATTGCTGAAAACCCAGTCAGTATCAGTAATAGAAAAGTTGATGTACTATAATAGCTATATATGCAATATTTTACCATTTTGTCGAGTTATTGAAATTTGTAGACTAAAGTTGATTTACTCTGCATCCTGGCAGCACAGTCAGCACCCATGAGTCATGACCCATCCCATGATCCCATCCAGTGTCCATTGATGTTTTTGTTGTAGAAATACAATTTTAAATTAAACCCAAGGCTTTTTCTTTGACAACAATTGTTCTCATATATTACAATGATTACAGGAATGTTTGGAAAAACAGCTGAGTAAGATCAAGATCAAGAATTGTTCCAGTTCCCCAAACAATGATGATGTTCCTCAACAATCCCTAAACAAGCAGTAAGTAAAATCTAATTAATAATAAAATTTGTAGTGTAAAGCAAAGTAGCAGAGCTCTTTTTAGACTCTTCCTAATTGATTTTGAGTCCTATGACTGGCAGTGGCAGGATGGAATTAGTATAAAAATGATGGTAACATATTATTTTTGATCCAACTTTTAAAGGTTTTTGGTCCAAAAATTTTTAGTTGAGATAGAAAGGAAAGGAAGAAAAATATGATGAATTAAAATTGCAATTAATTAATAAAAGTTGAAATGCTTAGATTTCAATTAGACTAAATGATAAATATTAATTCATTGACAATTTGACTCATGGTTGAACACTACAAATTAATCTTCATGAAGTTAAATGAATCATGCCACTAATAAGAATTTAATGCAATGCACACTGCAGAGAAAGTGTGGAAAACATCTCCCTTTAGGGCCGTGACTAGAGCTAGAGGTTTCCCACAATTTCAGGAACCATGAGATTTCTGCCAGATTTATTACCTCCTATCCAAATTGTTAACAAAAGTGCATGATCTGGCTGCGACATTTGAAATGTATTGAAAATTCATCACATTGGAGCTGCAAGATTTCAGAAACAAGTAGGAAAATTCCAATCCTGAAGTCTAATAAATGTTCAATGCAATGCACATCGCAGAGGCTGTTTGATGGAGCAGGATCATGTACATAGTTTGCCTCATGAGGATACAGTAAAAGCATGTGCACAACTGCAGTCTACGACTCTATGTGATATATTGATACTGGTTTCTGGTTGTCAAAGCAGCTGGCCATATCAATATGCTGTTGCCAAGTGTTTTATACTAAAAACATTTAACCTTTAAATTTAATTAAAACACATTGGTTTAAATAATTAATAACTATGTGAAAGGAGCTGATTCAAGAAGCCTTATCTAGCAATCTTTTTGTTTGCAGTTATAATGAATCGAAATAATCATTTTAAATATTGTTAACTTTATATTCTGTTCAAGTTAATTACCATTTGCTTATTTATGATGAAGGTTTTAGATATTTTTCAACTTTTAAATGATTAAACTAATGTTAACTTAACACCCATTCAATAATACCACTCTTGTAGCTAAATATTTTAAATTCAACTATTTTGTCATTTCAAAGACTCACTCCATTGACTACATAAGTTTATTATCCCACAAGCATATTCTTATAATGTTTCTGAAATAATTTTCATTCCTATGTTTAATTGGGATCCATAAATTACCTCCAGATCCTATTATTATTGATGTCAAAGTTGAAAATGGAAAATGATTCAGGAGTTAATATCGACAATGAGTTTAAATTTTCTAAGCATATTGAAGGCCAAGTTAATAAAGCCAATAAGCGACTTGGACTGATAAAATGCTCTTTCAAGTTCCTAGATGCAGAAGCAATGATGAAGCAGTTGTTTGTTGCTGTTGTGCACCCAAACCTAGAGTTTGAAAACGTTGTGTGATCACCAAAACTTGAAAGACAAAAATTTAGTTTAGAGTGTTCAAAGATGTGCAACAAGGATAATTTCAGGCTTGAAAGGCAAGTCCTATGAGAAAAGATTAAAGATTATGAAGCTTCCAAGCCTCAGTTATTGACATCTGCATGGAGACATTCGAAGTATTCAAGTATACTCATGGTTTATACAAGGTCCCAGAAGGATTACTGGAATTTGAAACAAGAACCAACACCAGGGGCCATGGCTATAAACTAAAAAAATACATTTTAACACATCTATGCAACAACATTTCTTCTTGCTTCAAGCCACAGACACGTGGAACAGCCTCCCTGATAGCATCATTGGCGCTCCGAGTATGAATGCCTTCAAGAACAAGGTAGACAAAGCTATGCAGATGCATATGTTCAGTCTTAAAATGCCTAGCACCTTACAGACTAGGCCAATAGTTCAGCAGGACAGCAATTATATCAATCAATAGTCAGTTATGGAAAGATCTGGTTCCCAAAAAGTACAAGAATCAGCAACAGGTCATGGATCTATTTCTGCAGTGCTGACACTTCTATTATTTAATTTGGAATCCATGGATGAAAATTCTATCTTCATTCTCATGGTATTCCCACAAAGCCATCAAACAGAACCAACATTGAGTACGTACCCACAAATTTGTTGTACCGTAAAATGGGGTAACTTAGACCGGCGGGGTAACTTAGACCACTTTTCGTTTTTATTACAAAAACCCCCACAACTCAAAAACTATTTGACATAGAAAAATTTTGTCAATGGGCATTAAAGGCCTAATACTGAGGCTACATAACACAATTATTTGCAAACTATGACACTTTCCTCAAGTTTGTCATTTGCATATGTAACTAGAAGAGTTCTACTACAATGCACCAAAACCTGGAGTTATTTGGAGTTATTTTACCAAAAAATATAATTGATTTTACCACCCGGTCTAAGTTACCCCAAGAGCTGGGGTAACAAAGACCATCACTTTTTTTGAAATTACATAAAGACTATGAGAAGCAGGAGCCAGCAATTTATGGTGAGTGAAGCTAGAGTATAGACCTGTATTTTGCATGTTTCAATTCAAGTTTAATTTAGCTAGTAAGAAAATAGCATCATTTATAAGAAAAAAAGTGGTCTAAGTTACCCCATTTTACGGTATTCTTTTACCGTTGATTGGTAAAAGCATAACAACCTCAACAAACTTTATGCATTGTAATTTAATTGAATAACCACATGTCATTTTCATTCATTTGCATGCTGTTCTTATAAATTATGAAACTTTTTCATAAAGTTTCTGATATTCATAAATGATCATTAATTTTTGCATCATATTTCTGAAAATTATCAGTTTTGTTTTCCATCAAGTTATGAATTCTAAATAATTTTGTATGCATTTTTGGGATCAAAATTCTGAAAGAAACACCACTAGATTTGGGTTTGGGTTGTAGTGACTCTGAAAAATACATTTCAGAGTCAGGCCTTTACAATGGCCATCTGCCATGCTTCACATGTCTGTTTTGTTAGTAGGAGAGAAGAGGGAAACCAAGCTAGGTAAAAGCATCATTGAAGCAGAGGCTAGAGGGGCACGAAAGTTTGTGATAAGGGTAAGATGAAGAAAATAATAAGTTTAAGAGAAATTCAAGAGGAAATTGATTTGCTTTATTATTGCTATGTCTCATTTATTGCACTTTTGTATATAGTTCATCTTAGATGTATATGAAATCTCTTAGGCCCTGCATGATTATTTGTGTTCTATTAAATTATTATGGAAAAATGTTCTCGCCTCCATCCTTGCCACCCGCCTCTCCCTAATTCTCAGTGCACTCTCCAAATATTGCTTTCCACTCTCAGTCATAGCAGCAGTCACCTTTGTTGACAGCCGACAGGCCCACTATACAGCAATCCCTTGATTAACGCGGTTAATAAATCCCCGAGTTTTACCGTGTTAAGCAAAACCGCACTAATCAAACCAGGGTTGGCGATTTTTTTGATTTTTTAAAAAAAATAAAAAAAAATAAAAAATCAATGATTTTTTTTATTTTTTCATGATTTTTTTTATTTATTTGATTTTTTTTTTTTGATTTGTTCAACTTTTTTGTCGTTTTTGAAGTGGTATTTTTTATGTTGCAATTAGCCTAACTAACAATAACAGTATATGGATCATAATGGATGGCTAAAAAGGGCACTTATTGCCTTCAATAATGGCCAACAGGCCAAGGTAGTGTTTACCACTTAGGGATTTTTGGGTAAACTCATACTTTTTGCTTATTACCATCACAAATGATAATATTCTCACAAGGAACCGAAAAAAAATTCAGAAAATAATTCTCGTCATTAATGGGTTAAAGACTGCCACTCAATATATTTAAATATATGAAAAAATCAAAAAAATCGAAAAAATAAAAAAAATCATGATTTTTTTTATAAAAAAATCATGATTTTCTTATTTTTTATTTTTTTTTTTATTTATAAGTGATTTAATCACATGATTTAATCATTTTGATTTAATCATTGCCAACCCTGAATCAAACGTAAGAATATATGGGAATAATTATAATGAATCCTCAAAAATAGCAAAGTTACATAATAATTTTTTTTTCCACTAGAATTCATCATATTTTTTCATCATATTTTGACATTCATTCACCATTATCAAAACGCTTAATTATTTCAAGCATAGTCTCCAAAGTGATATTTTTACGTTTAAGCGTTCCCTTTTTGTCCATAATTATGACGGTAATTTATCAAGGAAAATTATGTATAACTGGCACCGCGTAGATTAAGGGTAGGTTGCAAATTTTTTTTTCGCGTTAATCAAAACCGCGGTATTCAAAACCGTGCTAATCAAGGGATTGCTTTAATTGCAATCCATTTGTCTCCTGTTCACTCATCCAGCACACTATCACACTCATCATCCAGTATCACTCATCATTTCCAGTCTCCTGCTCATATGCATCACACTCCATGATCAGATGTTCCAGTTTCCCTTTCACCTGTCACACATGAAACAAATGCCTCTCATCTCTCATTCCACCTGTATGTCCATGCATTCACACTCAAAGCATTTGCTCTCACACAGAACATTAGGTATCCACCTCTACTTCTGTCATATATGTACTCATACTTTTGCATCTCTTTCATCTTGTTCATTCTCAGGCTGCCCTTTTTTTACATTCCTTGCTTCCATATTCTTGAACCACATAATTTCACTTTTTTTCTTCCATCCTTTGTCATCCCATTCGATCCCTGTTACACCCTGTACTGTCCTCGGCCATTCTTCTCTTTGTCTATTTCCAGGGTAAGCCCATGTTTCATGAAACTAACACTTGCGTACTATTGCATGACACTTACGTTCTAATTTGCTTACTCTCAAGTTACACAGGTACCTGCCTACATCTTACTTGCCCAATGTTCATCTTCCATTCTTCCAGTTGTACTTTATATCTCAATGCTGCTTTCATTCTTCTCTCTCAAAACGTACTCCATCCCATATCTCCTTGCAAAGCCTCCACTGCAGTCCATCTGGGAGCCCCAAATGCCATTCTAGCCACCATATTCTGTAAAACCTCCAATTTACCCAGTTTGCCATCATTCTATGCAATAACGTTCATTCCATGAACAATTCCAGGCACTGCCACACTTTTCCATACTTCTCTTCGAACATCATATTTACTTGACCTCACTCTTGCTATACCGTACTGCCCAGTATTCCTACCACTGATTTGCTTTACTAAGACTCGATGCTTTAGTTCTCTCACATCCTTTTTGGTCAACACTCATTCCCAAGTATCTCCTCATTTATCATCCCAATCCTCCCAGCTGCTCCACTCTATCCACATCAGCAGCTGTTCCATTCACAACTAGCACCTCAGTTATATAGTCAATCATTCTCTGAAGTTCAACCCCATTTTCACTAATTATTACCATCAAACGAGGTAATAAGGGATGGGCAGGGTAAATCGGGACGCTCGTCCCACATTTCGTAGAAATGTTTTAGCAGCTAAACTAATCAAAATATTGCAAAACTAAAAATAGTAGTGTAAACTTCAACATTTTAAATTGTATCAAGCTAGTTAAGAAATCATACATATACTATCTCTAAAAAATTGCTGAAAAAAAGTGTGAGAAGTGTGATTTTGGAAAAGTACCTCTACTAAAGTCTGGAGCAAAAAAAAAAAAAATATTCACCATATTAAAAAGTTTTACTTGCATAAAAGTTGCACACAGGTGTTGGCTTTAAAACCTGATTGACAAACTTTGCCTCTCGTTCCAAAAAAAATGGCAGCCATTTCCGCACAAAGGGGTAATAAGTGACACCCCTAAAAATGCATTTACAGTTCAACCTCAGTTAGCAAAGGCTCCAGTTAACAAGAAAAGTGATTAACAACAAATAATTTTGATTACATTTACCTTGCTCAGCTAAAAAAAAATTCTAAAAATTAATGCATCATTGGTCATCACAAAATTGTGCACAGAATGTCATAAGTTCTAGCACGACATTGAGCCGCAGACTCACATGCCATCTGCAAGCTGGAGGACCAAAGAATCATATGCTGGAGGCCCACAACGAGACCATCACCCGTGCCACGTTGGAGGCCTGCACCAGCGTCGTCATGCGGTGCCCCGACACAACGAGACTGTCGATAGCGGAGGCTCTCATCATTAAGGACGAGTCTCCGACTATCAATTTGCAAACCGCGGGATTCGTCAGGACGTTGAAATTATTCTCGGATTAATTTGATTTTCGATTTTGAACCGTATCTACAATACTTTCTGTATGAACTTATGTCATGTCCAAATTTCAATTTTTAGCGTTGTAATAACTGTTCACTTGCTTGATAATGAATATTGATATATTCGAAACGTCGCACTGCAATAAAATGTCATTCGGTAATCTACTTTTTGATCTCCAAGCTCCAGCTAGAAATTTCGTTCGGCTTATCGAAAAGAACAATAAGAAAATCGTAAATAAAAAGTACGCTCCGGTCTTCAACCAAACATGTATAAATGAAGAATGTCATATGTATATAGAATTGTGCCCTGGGCATCATAGGATGAAAAGTAATTAACCTAAACTATGATTTATTTCTCAAAAACATATGATGGTTGTGTCTAAAACATTCCTTTCTGTTTCAGGCACATTTTTTATGATCTTTTTTATAGTGAATTCACCTAACCCAATTAAAATAGTGTGATAGTACGAGCCGTCTTGTAAGCTTACTGATACAGAAGAAATGCTATATGGCTGCTGATATGAAGCTTGCACTGGACAAGGTTGTTGTAAATGCTCAATGGCATGTTCATGGATACAGTAATATCACATCAATAATACGGTAATGAATGAATATGGCGATATCAATAAAGGATAAACAAGTAAAAAACACAGAAAATGTCATTTATTCTCCATCTACATCATCTACAATGAAAGAGAAGGACTTCAGAGTACTGTTAGTAATGGATGAGTACACTTTGCATGCTTCAAACATTTTAAAATTGAGTTTTATTTCAAGTGCCCCGGATTACTCTGTTCCCAGGGGTAATTTGGGGCGGTTTTATTTTACATCTGGCATCTTACAAATAGCATATGGAATTTTTTGAAAATGACATTCAATAGCCCTCTCAAAGAGATATAAAATGAGCCCAAACTTGTTTATGAAATGTTTCATGGTAAGAAGTTATTAACAAAAAATGTTCAAAACCGTCCCTTATTACCACGTTTGGCAGTACTGTATTATCAGCATAAAGTAGCATGTTTAGTCTTTCATCTCCAACAGGCACTCTCACATCCATTCTTCTCAGTCTAGCAGCCATTTCTTCAGTGTACAGGCTGAAGAGAAGTGGAGACAGGATGCATCCTTGTTGAACACCCCACATGCACTTCACCCAGTCTGCCTCCAAATCTCCAAACCTATATTTTGCTCAAGGATTTACATGCATACCTTTAACTATCCTCACATATTTTTCACTCATACCAATTTTTTTCAACATTTGGCATAATAATTTTCTATCAATCCCATCATATGCTTTTTCTATATTTATGAATGCCATGTAGACTCTCCTTACATCCCTCTTCATTTTTTCAATCAATTCATTCACAACAAATATGTTATCATCTCTTCTGTCACACCTGAAACCATTCTGCTTCTGAGAACAATTAAGTAAAGTATAAAGTAATATGAGAACAATTAAGGAAGATGACTTTATTAACACCATGTGACACATGCCTAAGTTCTCAGAGTTTCCTCTTGTTTTTAAAAGTAATTCACAAACGATTTCACTATAAACAATTAGCATTTCTAAAAGACATGACATGTTTGAAAACTTGCAATGTGAGGAAAATTATTCATGAGCCTGTTTTGTTTTCAGTGTTATCTGAAGTGAAGTTGGAATTAAAGTATCAACAAAAACATGAAAAAAATGTATTAAGACGAGTAAGAAGAGGTGGGCAGTTGAACTTTGAAACCACTTTTCATCATTTAATTAAATCTCATTATGTATCAAATTAAATTGGATATTGCTCAAACAGGAAGTGTGCCATCTCCAGTTGTTCATAGTGCTTAAATTTTGTGACACATGCCATAAAAGAATTGGAGATTATCTCATTACTTTGTTGGTACCAAAAACTTGAAACCATTCTGCAATAGTCAACATAAATTTTTCTATTATAGAACATTCATTGCAAAAATTGTTCACTTATGGATAAATGATTAGTGAAGATGATCAAGAAGGGGGTCACATAGATCCACATGCAGTCTGTAAATTGCTCGACATCAGACTAGCAGCAGCCACTCATGAGATCAGTGTACCCCTTGGCATTGCAGTGGGAGGTGTAACATGATGGCAGACCAAACCATGAATGACCTATTTTGGATACATTTAGAATCTCATGCCATTCTGGGATGTTGGGCAGCCACCAGAATTTTCCAATATTCATTGATAAAAATAGTGAGTTACTAGTGATTTTTGGAGATTATGAGCAGTGATTTGTCATTCTTATTTTTATGAAAAAAATTAAGCCAGAAAAATAAAAAAGGTGCAATTGAAATTAATCATCCAATTGGTTTTGCACTGTTTCCTAGTTACAAAGGATTGAATAAAGTTTCAGTTTAGCTTCAATAGTTCTAAGATGCCGTGATATCATTTTGACATGAACATCTTGATAATCTATTCATATTTTCAGGGTGACTATACTAAGTGGTGATGAGCACTGTAGGACTCAGTATGTTCCTGAGGTGAAGGTGCTGATCATGAAGCGTCCATCACAGTCATCTTCTGATGCAGCGGCTGCTAAACCTAAAGCTCCTCTCAAGACCTTGGAACAGGTGATATAAGAGACACCTTTTGGATGGTGTTTCACAGCTGGTGGAAAAATGAACTTCTTTAATAAGAGTATATTATTTCTTAATTAATTTAATTTTTAATGAGAAATGTACAAAGCACGTTTCTCATTGTTGTTTTCCTTTACGGTTGAAATGATTGCTTTACTTTGTTACGAATTACTTTGCCATTTCCCCTGTATAAATTGTATAGTCTGTTTTTGTTGTTCCCAATTGTTCACTGAAGTCCGTGATAAAATACTTTACTCCCATGAAGCTTTTCCTCTTAAAACAATTATTTTCACTGACTTGATGGTGCTTCTTGTTTTGAAAGGCTTGCCCCTAGGATTGCATCGTCTCTGTGTTTAATGCAACATCAAATATAAAGTCATTGACTAGTACTTAATTTTTTAATGCTTCACAGTTCCCAAGTCTATATTTCTTGTTTACTATCATGTTTGGCAGAATTCAATGAGGTTAAGGCATTCCCACCAGGATCAATTGCAAGTAACATTGCTGCCTTTACTGTTGCTGTTGTTAGTATGTGAAGTATACGTAATCCAGCATTTGGAGAGTTCTAGAACAAAGTAGATGGAAAGTTTCATGTGTGTAGCTGACACACATGAAACTTTGCTAGTTACTAAGTCTTTGCTAGTTACTAAGAATTTTCTGTAGTGCATGCAAGTAAACTACTTGAAATTGTGCAAAAGATTTGCCTTCTATTCCAATTTGAATAGTCTCAGCTTCTGTGATTAAAGTGTTGCACGAAGTGATTAAAGCTGGAAACTTCATGCAACTTTTATAAAAGGTTCTTCAATGATCTTCAATGTATATACTACAATATTTTAATGTCATTTTCCAGAGGCAAGCTGAGTACAATGAGGCCCGCATCCGCATCTTGGGGAATGCTGAGCCAACTGCATGCAGCGACAAGACGGACGCCTCATCCGTAGCTGCACCCGGGGATGTCTCCAAAGTGAGCTAAAGACAATTTCTCATAGCAAGGCTTGAACTAATCTTAGTTGTGAATTTAGTGCAATTTAGTTAAGACAAACTTATCATGGGTTTTTGGATTAGCAAATTTGTTTTTTATGTCCTTTGTATTACAAAAGAAGAAGTTAGTGACCACATTTTCCTTGCAATTTCAAGAATTAATGGCTCCCATGGAAGTTGGAGTCATTTGCGTTTTTCATGTAATAGCTTCATGATATAAAGCCATATAAACTAATCAACCTCATTGAAATTCCAGGGCAATAGTCCTGTTGCTCAAGGCGCTCAACGTGGTCTCATAACCGGAGCAGCAGCGCGACAGCAGCAGCAGTCAAAGCCAAGTGGGCAATGGCAAAACAAGCACAAGACCTCCGGCAACTCCCAAAACAAGCGTGCTAATAACGCATCCAACAACAATCAGTCAAATAATATACAGTATAAGGATCAGAGTCACATAGTTCAGCAGCAGACCCCAATAACTGTGCCTACACGTGAGCCTGGCTTGACTATGTACTCGGTCCCTGAATTCTATCCTGGTGATAGTCAAGCTATTCATCATTATCAACAGCCTTATACCCACTGCTATCCACCAACCATGACCACGTGTCAGCCACAGTACCCAACTTCCATGGCGGGTCAACAACCAACCCCTCCTCAGCTCCCTCAACCATACTCTGCTCAGGACTACTCACTGTCTGCTCAGCCATACCCACCTTCGTCATACGGACCTGGTGTGCCGGCTCCTGCATACATGCCGTCTCCCAACCCTGTTTACTCACCGTATGTGACCAATCATCAGCAACTTCCATTCCACTGCTATGCTCCTCATCCCTTTCCTTTGCCTCCTCATCAGCATCCTCAAATGATGTCGCTGCAGCAACAGCCACCTCTGCAAACACAAGCATCTACTCCAGTGTCTTACAATCTGCAGCAGCTGCCACCGCAGACACTCTCAGCCCTAGCAGACCCGCAGCAGCCCATGCCAGCTCAACCGCCGCATCAACGCCAGCAGAACAAGAAGCAAAACAAACGAAACCAGAAAAATACCAGGTACCGGTATGTCAGAAGGGCCCTTACGAGCTGATCAACAACATTGCCTTATGGACAACATTCGTGAATTATTTTTAAATTCCTTGTTTTGAATTTTTATTTTCAATTCCTTGTTCTGAATTATTATTTTAAATTTCTTGTTCTAAGGTAGCTAACTTGCATTCATTGAATATTTTGTATCGAATCCAACATCCTTCATTTGAATGTGAAGAAAATTTATGCATTTGCATGTTACTATACACTTGTTTGAGCAGCAACTTGAGGCCGGACAACTCTACGTCTCCAACGCTGGTGAACGGCAAAAAGTCAAGCCCCAAGATTATGGCCAACGGTGCGGCATCAGGTGAAGCTCTCAAGCCCCTAAGTGATAGTCCAGCCAACACGTCTTCTCCACCTCCTGACGTTTCTCTTGACGCAGCTGAAGCTAGTCCCATGGAGACCGTGAACAAACAGAAGAAGAAGCGAAAGAAGAAGAAGAACCCGGTTAAAACCTCGGCAACTTCATCAATTTCAACGACAGGCAAAACCAACGGCACGCTCAGCAGTAAAGAAGGTAACGGCAGGATCATCCGTATGCCACGTGGTCCCGATGGAACCAAAGGTTTCACACTCGTCAGGTAACAGAGACCTTAACTTAGGACATTAACGATAAGTTCAAAGTTGTTGACGTTTTTATTAGATTTTGTATTCAAAATAGTTCAGTGAAACCATCCCTTTTGTTTGCCTTCTAAATTGAAAAAATTCATGAAAGAACTTGTCTTACGATGTCAGAAACTTTTCAATGTTCTTAATAGACTATAAGCAACTATTGCAGTTATTGAGCAACACATTTCAATGTAAAGAATGAATTCTGTTTACCATAGATATTTTTTTTTCTTATATTCATTCATGAGATGTTATGCATAGGATCTATTCAACTTCGTCTCAAGCAAGTGGGGTAAAGAAACTGTGGTATGGGTGTGCTGTTGAATTGCAGATGCTATTTTGATTGCGCTTACAAGTTTGTAGACATGTATCTATAAGGATGTTACTTGGGTTTTTATGCCTGAAACGCGCACTCTAACCTAGGCAACTACGTTGAGATGTTTGCTGTACATTGATGCATGTCGACGTTGTGGTCACAAATGCTAGAGCCTTGTAAAATAAAAATGCCCATCACATGTATTCCTTTAAAGGAAGCACGTTTTCACAGAATATGACCGCCGAAAACTTCTTGAGTAAAAATTCACTCAGGTCATAAATTCTAAAATAATTTCTGTAATGCAAGTTTCAACTGTAAATACAAATTTGTGATCACGATTCAACGGTTGAATTATACAAAAAATCCGGACTTGATTGTACGTTGGCATCAGTAAACTCGCGGGTGGAGTCAAGCAGTGAATGCTTTTCATTTCGATCCATTATCTCTGAATCCATAGTAAAAGCGAATACTGTAAAACTTGACCTGTCTGGGATCGACGATTCTCGACATCTCAACGAACATTCCTAGAAAGCTTTACTCGATGACGCCATATTTTGTATGATTTAGAAAATTTATTAGAATGGAAAAGTTTTGGCAGCATGGTGTTCTTGGTTTACTTCGAGTTTTTTATGAAATCGGAGCCCCTGTCTTACATAAATCCTAATAGACAGTAGTGCAACGCCAGAGCTTGTTTCCGTTCTTCTTTAACGAATAAAGTGACTATGAATAAATTAAAGTTTGGGAAGGGTCGTGTACCTACTCCGTAATTAACTGGTATAATGAAATGTAAACTTTTCTAGCAGCCTTAACAAAAAACGGCAAAAATTGGCTGTAAATAAAATGGCTGTCACGTACTACAGCCCTGGGCTGACGTCATGAATTTCTGAATAATTTGCCCTCTCTTCAGTTCTTTCTGAAATATTCAGTCATCTTAATAACATCTATCCTGACTTCATGGAGGAAAATAATATTGTAGATTCGGTGTAATATTGTGTAGTACTTTTTTTCTATGCCAGAGTGGTGTTGATAAATGTTCAAGTTGCTGCATCGTAAAACTTCACTTGCTTCGTTAGTTTCATCTCGCTTCCAACTTACCAGGAAGAGTAAAATAGTATTGATGGAGTAAGATGTGTTCAGCGCGCAAATTAACCCTTGATGAACTCTTCAGTTGTGTTGAAACTTGTAACGAGTGTAACGAATATGCTTCGGAGTGTGCGATGCCTCCTCGGTACTCCATAGGATGTGTATATTTTTGTAAAATTGGAATAAAAACTCAATAAAAATCAATGAATCATGGTGTTCTTCAAGTAGTGCGTACCGCAGGGCAGAATTTCCTATTTTTTTCCTTTGGAATTCGGCAATTTTTTTCTTAGGTTAAGCAAAGAAAGAATAGTATGATCCCTTGCATCAATCAGGTCACGAGTATTAAATTTATTAAAGTTCAAAACGGCAGGATAAATAACTTAAAATATGTAGAAAACTTAATGTCCTACTAGCGAACAGCTTAATTTAGTACAATAAAAGATTAATCAAATACACTGCACGGCGTGACAAGCAGCGGCGTGTTCCGACATTTATCTTAAATGATCATCTGAACGCCCGTGTACGATGGCGCACTGTCTTCAGGAAATGAACAGACGCAGCACCCATAACGTCACTGGCTATGGGACATGACAGACCGGCAGCAGCAGCTCCTGAATGAGATCCCGTCGCGGGTGGTCGCACCAGGATGTAACTGGGGCGGGTGTTGTGGGGGCGCGTCTCGTGTTGTGATGCGTCGTGCGTTGGCTGGGACGTCAGCTACAGAGCCTTGTGGTGGTGCTCCTCTTGTATAGTCGGCACGGCAGTCAGATGAAGCGCATGAAGAACAATAGTCGCTGTGACGTGTAGTTCTTCGTCGACTGGAATCACTCTCGTGAACCGTCGGGACGTCAGGGGACGGGCGCGCGGCGGCCATGTAACGACGTACTTCGGATTTCGTACAGGAATTACCGCCTGTGAAAACAAATTTTGGTTTATAAAACACATATGAATGAGCCTGCTGAATTAATAAAATTTGGTTAAATTTGTGCACGAAAGTGGGTTAAGAACTTCATTATCTCTAAGTGCAATCTACAGATTCCAAGAAAGCGAACACAATTTTCACCCACCAGTATTCTTGAGCATTGAAATTATTTGTTCAGCTGGAACGACCAATAGACAGCTGACACATTATATTTATTATATGTAATATATAATAGAGAGCTGACACATTATTAGAATAATAATATAATAGCCTAGTCACATTATATTCTATTTAATCAACAGTGCATGAAGCAACAGAATAGATACGCTAAAATCTCAAAATTAGAATCACGGCCCTAGCCGTGATTCTAATTCAGAAAAAAATAGCGACACTTGATGATGAGGCTAAAGTAAAAGGCAGTCATGTCAGCTCAGAACTCAAACCATGTCGTGTCGGAAGAGCAGCTCGCATGCAATAACAAGTAAAGCTCTTGAAATAAAGTAATAGTACCGTCTCTTGGGAAAAAAATACTCCTAAATGCAATTATGAAAGCAGTAACTCCTTATTTCCAATCGCCATTGATACGATTTTTGTAGTTGTCTCACCGCAGACCGCAGCAGGAGAGATCTGTTCGCGCTTCAGCCCGCCAGTCCTGGAGTGAGACTCGCAGCACAAGCATCTGGTGCAGGCAGAAGCTTGAGCGCCATTATCTGCTCCGCGGTGACCGTCACTACACGCCGGAAAAATAATGTACCTTGTTACAATAGGTGTACAGCAAAAATAATTGTCAATTAACTAAATTAATTGCTTACCTGCACTTAAGGTATTACGAAAACAATAAAAAAATGAAATGCATAATTCCATAGCATTCAAGATAGTTACCTGAAATGCCTGGTCGCAGGATCGTTCTTATAGACTCTATTATCGTTGAAATCAGCTCGGTATGACGAATTCACATGAAACTTCGTGTTGGCGTCATAACTCGCTTCTGGAATATTTTCTTGGGCCAAATTAAACATGAAGTCAGATCTCCGATTCCTCGATGAGCACGCAGCGTCAGCTCTAGATGACGAACCATAACTGGACGTGGAATTTGTTCCTGAGGCGTAATCATTTTGAGGTCTCGAGTCAGCTGTTTCATCAGTTACAGATCTTGGGAAAGATCCGCAGCTCACTGCTGAAGTGGACGAATAACTATTGCTGGACATGCAACACACATCAGAGGCAAGACAATTGCCATGGCTGCTAATGGAGGGGAACCTTGCAACAAGAGCTCCCGACTCCCTCTTCCCGAACTCGACAGTCGGTGGCTTGCGAGATTTCCTAGTTACTGTACAAACACAGTCATGCCAATGTGATTCGTCATGAGCTTGAGTATTGGCTGCTGTCGATGTGGGAATGTGACTTGCAGGCAACGCTGGCATTGACAAGTTGGAAGGAAATCTTACAACGGCTGACTGAGGTAAATCTTTGCTACCACTCGACGAAGTTCGTACGTTGGACCAATTTTTCTTTGAGGCAAAGGGAAGAAATGCTGAGCGCGCACAATCCTGATAAGATTGTGACCCATGACCACTATCTATCCTCATTGTGTACAATACATCATCAACACTCGGCTTAGAGAGCCCCATCGGATTTGCGGAATCGTGACTGACAGGCTGCAAAGCCAAGGATCGCGGCTCGTAACAACACAGCATATCATCAGGGAGCGGCTGGGAGCTAGATAACATCTCCCTATAACGGTTTGTGATATCGCGACAGTGACCTATGCGAACGATTTTGCCATATTTTCGACTTTGATGATCATCGAGATAAGAAATTCCATGTTTAAAATCGTCAAAATTTTCATGTTTATGTGAACCGTCGGAAGAGAACATTTCATGGTCATCAAAACGGACCATTCGTCTCTCAGTTTTATCCATGACAGCCAACTGACATGTCTGTGTTGATCTTGGATGAAGTTCTTCATAGTCATTCCTATTGCACGTGTTATTAGATTCGGTGCAACCTTTCAAATACAATAATGGGTCGGCGATAACCGATTTTTCTTGTATCGATGGTAAAGGTGAGTTAAGAGTAACGCGCGACAGTTCCATTTTAGGTTCTGATGGCAATGCCAATTCTTCATCACGTACTTTTTCAGTCTCACTGACCCAGATTTTCTTGCGTTTGACTGTGGGATGATGGAACGTCTCATCAACTTGCTTGACGAGTTTTGGGTTCATCAGTTTAGCTTCATGCCGAGCAAAGAGCTTCTTGGGGGCACATATCACTTGCTCGGGGTGGATTGAGAAGTCCAGAGCAGACGGCATGGCAGACGAGCTTGAAACTACGCCAGTTTGCTGTTCTGAAACATCAAAAAAGAACGTTACTTTTTAATATTATTTTCCGGTCAAACAAGACGTTCACGAAATACAACCGCTATATTGGTTGCATTTTAAACGATTATTACTTATCAATTACGTTCATATTTTACTTCCAACTTCATCAAACAGCGAAATAATAAATGATTCGGTAATTTGTGAAGACGCGAACGTTCTGCACACACTCGATTCATCGTCCGTGTTGCTGCTCACTGAAGCAACACATCTGCCACTGCTTGCTGCTGCTGGGCTGCTGCTGACCAGGGGGAAACTGCTGAGTGTCGACGTGCTGCTGACACTGGACAGGATGCTGACAGTGTGTGGTCTGCTCACTGACACCAGACTGGTGTTCGTGGTGGGGCTACACGCTGACGTTCGGCTGATGACGGTAGCTGGGCTACGCAGTGGAGTATCAGTGCTACTGTAGCCGGCAACATGACCAGAGTTTGTAGTTGCAGCAGCACGTCTTCGCTCTGAGGCCCTGCCAACAAATATTGTTCACACGTGTACAAATCTTAGAATTTCGTTTTGAATACACAAACATCTGCCAAATTCTAACTAGCGTGACTCCTGAATTAATATATGCAAGCATATGACATATATATGCCATACTTCAGTAGTGAGAATGGACGTGCAAAAATTAATCCTGCATTCCAAAAGGATCTCATGACTTTACTCATATATGTCAACATTATGGCGTCATGATACTTATGTTGCACAACTGAAATAACTCGACTGGTAGTTGACAGATATAGAAACGCAGTCGACTGGTAGTTGACAGTTACAGCAACGCTGTCGACTCACTTGTTGTAAATATCTTCCAACTTCTTGATCGTCTCTGCCTTCAGATCTGTTAAAAAAACCTGATTTAAGCACTAAAAAAATTATAATTTAAATGAACTCCAGATAGATCTCCAACCATTCTCTATCTGCTTTCTGTCTAGACTTTTGCAACTGCAGTGTTTTTTAATGTAGATATTTCATGTTTTCACTCTAAGAAACGCGCCCACGCTGCTCTGGCAAGCATAGCTCTCAACTTTTTTCATCTAGGCTTATACTTTTGAAAATAATTAGATTCAAGTTTATTAAATCGGCTATTAAAAATGTATAGCCATGAGAAATTTTTTCACAATTTAAAAACATATTCCAAAAGCATGGAAGGCTCGAAAAATAGGACTCATAACGGGTTACGACACAACCTATGAGTGAATTTAATTTCACTCTCAAAAACGACTACGTTATCACGATTAAAATCAGTGCCACGACATCATTGTCTGTTATCTGACATTGATTGGCCGCCAATGAAGATGAGCTCATTATCATTATTCTATGGAGCGATTGTCTCGTCTGGTTCAAACGAACTTCGAGGGCACGTACACATAATTGGTCGGTTGCAAACTGATGGCAACTGTGGCAGTAACAATTAAAATATCGCCAGCTCCCTGAACTGTGAATGGCCCGTTCTTCAGTAGCAGGAAGAGGATCAAAAATGTTACTACAAAACTGTGCTTAGTAATAGGAAGTAAGGAGCTGAAGGAAATAATGTAAAAGATTTTGTACAGAATTAAAGATCAGAAAGAAAAGCGGAGAAATAATAAAGTATAATAAAGTGGAATTAAAATAATTTAAAATGCCATAATGCAGTGTATCAAGATTAAGGACAAGATGCAAGAAGGTCAAAGATGATACTTGGGGAAAGCTGCCTGAGAACCCCTGACCTCTGCCGGCGCTCATGTCACGGATGTTGTTGTCCAGTTTGCTGATGATCTGCTGCATGAAGTCTGCGTACTGCGGCTCCTGAGGGCGGGACAGCTGCGTCACAAGCTCGGTATAAACTTCGATATATTGGGCGGACTTTAAATCATCAATTACTGTAGGAAAACCTGCACACTGCTTGAAAGTCTCCGCCTGGACTTTCTTGCCACTAAGTTGCTGCCTGTTATTACAATCATCTTACGATGCGCAATGATCGAGAGATTCAGTAATTCCATAAATTAAGAGAAAGGTGGACTGCTGCATGAAATGCTCCATTCAATGACTATTGTCATATTTCAATTGTCACGAAACAAATTAAAACTGCCCAGAACAGAACTAAGACATGATGATCTGGCACTTGTGAGATCTTTCATTTATAGAGCAACAGTTTGTCAACAAGAGTACCGTGTATCATCAACAATTTTCATGTTTAAGAGTAGAATTCCTTTACATTCAAGTACCTGACAATCTCGACTTAGTTCAACTTTTTTCATAATCAGACTTGACTCAAACTTGTCCCAAGATCTTAGAGTGAATGTCCACGGTAAAATATTTTTGAAGACCCTATCAGCATCCATTAGAATCTGTTATGACTAGGTTGATTTGAAATTTTAGATTTTACTTTTTTCGTATACTAAATTAGTCGTCTCATGCTGAAAGTAACACCCCGACGAATTATGATAATTATTAAGCTCTTTTAAATGAGTTGACAAAATGACCGCGGTTTCGATACTCTGGATTATGAGCAGAAAATTTAGGGTCCGAAACCAGCACATCAGCAAAAATTTCCAACAATTTTTTTTGTAAATTTAGGCCGGAATCGGCGACATGACTGGTTAAGAATCGGCGGCAGGCCAACATGGCCTATTAAAAGCGGTCACCACCCCATTATTGTGTTTATATTATTTATATTATGACTGTATTCTGACCTGCGTCGATGGGGAGGTCGGTGTGACAATCTGACTACCTCGAGAGTCGCTCGCAGGACCAGCGCCTGAGCCTGACACAGAATAAGAACAGGTCAACGAACTTTGGAGGAAGTTAGGTTTCAAAAAAATCCGATAGCTTGCAGAATAGAACCACTGAAGCAAAGTCACTGAAAGTACTAACAATTGAAAGTAATAACTAAGTACTAAATGTAGGTGGGAATAGTAACTATTGGTTATTATTGATCACGTTACTTGATGGTAGGAAAATACCGCTTGAAGCTAATAGCTCCTGCATGTTTAACACGTTGACTACGATTGCTTCATCTTGTACTTTTGTTTCATTTTTCTAGTACTATTATGGAACAGGGTTGCCAGACTTTCATTTTTTACCGGACAAATTCCGCCATTTAGTTTTTTCAATTTCGTTGGTTGGCTAAAATTTACGATAGTGGTTTTAAGGAGCACTTCCTAATTAAATAAAAAAATTAAATTTTTACACCAGAACCTACAAATATACTAGTACATATTGAGTTATAGGCCTTTTTGCCCTTTTTGTTCACTGACTTAATTGGCCGTTTTTTAGGCCATCTAGCTGGCAACCCTGAATTATGTACCAGGAGAAATACATTTCGTGGTACGCATATGTACCAATACGTAGTCAACGTGTTAATAAAGAATAGAATACAGTACGTAACGACAATTTTGAAGGCTACATTGAACAGCTATATTCAACTGGCACCAATGACCAAAATCAATCTGATGCGATTAATATTCATGGTTGACTAGTATAAGGTTGACCCATGAGAAGCTCATTTTCGCGGATGTAGTGAGTTGTTCGCCTGTGACGTCACTGATCTCAATGACGTCACGGACATTGACCAATCACCGAAATGCGATCAAACCAGTCAACCAATCCGTCATGGGAATGTCGGGATTGTTTACGTTTCTCCATATCAGTGACGTAGCAGGAAAGCTGAACTGAAAGACGGGAATCCTTGTGGGTCAACCTTATGCGGTTCAACCATGGTTAATACTAATGTATTTAGTATTTGCTTAAAACTAATGTATTAACATATGATTGAAGAGTATCGGCTTAACAAGCACACACTTGACTTATCACTGGTCCTGCGCTTGCCATCAAGACGAGCCTGTGCAGGACCAACACAGTAGGGTTTGGCGAAGCGAGTCTTGCACCTCTGATGAGGTTTATTATTCACTGCTTGAGTGGCTGCATGAGACGAAGAAGCTTCATTCTCAGGCTTTGGTGGGATGTTGTCTTGAGTGATGGTCAACTTTTGGCCAGCATCAGAGTTCTGGTCAGAGGAAGCATCACATATCACTGGAGATGAACTTCCACCTGAAGCATCACTGTCACTGGTGCGCTTCTCTGGTTCCTGATGAGCAAGCTTTAGGATGCGCGCCAGACTTGCCTCAGCTTTAGCTTGCATTTTCTTGTTCAAGCCTGAAATTAGTAATTTCGAATTAATGTGATGAAAAGTAATCATACACCATAACAGCTAATCAATGGTTTCGGAGAGTTTTTTCAAACAAAACACTAACATTTTTGAAAGTACAATCTTGCAAATATCAGTTTGATGAAACCAATTTTCATATATGACCGGCAACTTGGCTACTCACTGTATTTTTAATAAAATCATTCACTGAAGATAGTAACGGATAAAACTGTTTTCTGCAACCTATAACTAGTTTTCACAGATGCATTTTCAAAACCAACTTATTTCTTGTTATTTTTTATAAAGTACTTTACAAAAAATACTCATTTTGAATTAGGCGGTTTTTGATAGATTTATGCATTATTCTGCACTTCACCTAAGAATGTAAGGAGTCAAATGATGCAAGATTCACACCTATATATATAACCATATAACCTTCACTGGGTGTATATATATACGGTATATAACCATTTCACCTCTTGAAACCATTCCTGAAAATTTTGCTCTGCTGAAGATGCCTTGTTTGATCTGAAAAAATAAAATAAAATTCACATAGTATAGGTAATTAGTACCAAGATACATAATACAATAATTCACATGATACAATTAATACCAAGATACATAATAGTAGTACAATAATTCACACGATATAATTAATACCACGATGCATAATACAATAATTCACATGATATAGGTAATTAATCCAAAGATAAATGATACCTGCATTTATTTGAATTGTAAGTGAAAAGGCCAACTTTAATACCAAGCCTATAGTAAACTTGCAATAACATCCCATCCTGAATATCACTTCTCCATATTAAAGCCAATATCTCAGAAATGGAAATATCTAACATAGTAGGTACATATTTTTTGGCACAACTTAAAACGTGTATGAGAAGAAATCAAACTTGCAGTCATGCACAGAACATCAATAATAGTTATTAAAGTAGTGCAGGCCTTCAAAAACACTTTTCATTTTTTCTCATAACTCTTGAAGAAATGGGCCAAAAAGTGAACCTTTCACTACAACCAGCAAAATTTTGCAAAGCTGCGTTTTTCTGTATAAAGAACAAATATGGTTACAGAAATAAAACTTTTGAAATATTATTTGAGTGCATTAATGTTTCACAATAATATATGTCTACAGCATTCATATATATAGGTATTTAAATATACAGGTTTGCCTATACAGGGTATAGGGAAAATTTACCATGTGAATTAGTTTAACGCTAAAGTTTAAAACGAGTAGTATAAATCAACATATTATGAGTGGCTAACATAAAATAGTTACTTTACAACTTTGTGAAGTTTATCTCTTCAACAAGGATGCAACAAAAATACGGTAACAAAAGATGTAAGACTTAACTTCAAATAAAATCACAAAAATCTCAGCATGGACTTTGGTAGGAAGGAAAGGAAGGAAATATCTGATAGTTATTTTTTTACATGATTGCAATACGTCCAGAATGACAACAGAGCAACTTAGAGTACCAAAAAATATTTAGAACACCTTGTAACTGGTGTATTTTGAAGCCAAAGTAGAAGCGGGTGTTATATAAGGCCTTAACTTTACATTATATAAGGAATCTTGGCAAGACTTCTTTGAAAATATTTACCAACCATTCTAAAGAGTAAATATAACCTTATTATATTACTATCTTGTAAAACAAAAATAATATAAAAGATATATACCCGAACCATCAATACTGAATGTTCCCTGCCATTCTTGAATACAAATGAAATTCAATTACTCACTGTTAGTCGTCCAGAAGTGACTCGGTTTGGATCATCCTGTAGCAGTTGCTGCACACAAATGTCTCTTTTTAATAGAGAGTAAGAAAAATAACAGAGTTGCAGTAAAGAACTTATCCAGAAATTGACAGTTTTACTTTAAAACTATTAAACAATATTACCAAAATATGAAGCAATATAAAGGGAAAATGGAAACTACTACGTATCACTGATTAGTCCTTAATATTCAAGATATGATAATGTAACAAAAAACTATTTGTTATGGTATTTTTATCCCTATACTTCACACTCACAAAATCAGCATATTTATTATTTTCTGCCACTTTAGACTACCCACCATTATAGTAACACAGCCATGAAAGTTTGCTGTACAAGAGTTTGCTGATCCAAAATAAAAATTGAAGTAATTTTCTATTAAATATAAGAACCAGATAATAAATGGCAAGAAAAATTGGCCTGGTGCACACCTGATCCTTGGTTTGTAGCAGCTGTACTTCCTTTCTCTTGGTCAAAAATGAGACGCTGGAGGCATCATTGGATTTTCCAGCTCTCTGCTGAAAAAATCAAAATTAATTTTTTTGTAATAAGAAATTAACAAGCTACCATCAGTTACAAATGACCCCTTGAGTAGTCATTGCACAAATCTTGAAGCTTATCAGTTAACACTAAAAACAATACAACAAGTCAGAAAGGTAATTAAGGCATTGTCCATAAGTGATATGTTCATGTGAATAATGTGATGACAGAAATAGCAAGGATTTCGAAGTTTCAGTAGAGAGCAAGACTAAAGCAAGCAAACTTTTTACATAAATATTGCAAATTTACATTCCTATATTTTGGTTAATGTGAAAATTTGCAGCTCACTGGCTCAGTAAATCAGATTAAATAACAATTTAAAAATTTATAATTTCTCTGAAGATAAATGCTGTCTACTAGACAGCACTTGTTGATAGTGTCACCACAGCTGCCTGAGCTGGCCTTCAATATAAGCAATCAATTGTACAACAAAACTGAATAGTATGAATCATATCTTTCTGGCACAATAAAAATGCCTTGTACATGGGTAACAAACCCTATAAATTATAGTTCTGACTATTTTTATGTGGTCATTAGTGACCTGACAGGCTGACAGGCAGTGGGTTAAGTGCAATACGTATCTGCTGTGCTGTGAGGCGGTGAGGGACTTTTATCATTGTCATTGACAAATGATGATAGTAGAAATCATGCAGATGACGCAGCTTCAAAAGTAGCAGGAAAGCTCCAGCCATCATGTGAGGCATTGTGAGCCATGGCTTAGCAAGTAGATTTCTTAATGTGTAATTTTTATTAAATTTGTCAATAAGTTGCAAGATTTTTGTTGAAGCTTGATTTTTTGCTGCTTTTTAAGGCATTAGGTATCTTGAAAAGAGCTGTATTTTGTATTAGTAATATATTGTATAGTGTATACCTAGTATACTCTATAGTTTCTTTGGCATTGAAAAATAATCCTGGAAAGGCCTGTATATATGGCAGTACAATAATCCTTCAAGCTCTTTGAATCTGTAGTGTGGAAACTGCAGTAACAGCCACTCAGCCAGTCAGCCAGGAAGAACCATTCATTAGTTAAAAAAACAAACAACATTGTGAGTTGTGACATGTGCATTGAAACTATTGGATTAGATAGAAGTAACGTAATTGTGACATTACCTAGTCAGAACCTGGTCCATCATTCTATGTAAGAAAATTATGCCAAAATATGCATGATGATACAACTCCCAGTCCCACTGTCCATCTGTCCCAGTACCAGCTGAGCCTGCAGCTTGTAGCCTACTCCTAGTTGTGAACTTGTGGCACAGTGGCAGTGGCTTGTGAAGTTGTGGGCAATGGGCTAATATTATAATTAGGAGATTTATGACCTAATGAGTAATAAGCATGTTGTTTTTTCTAGATTCCCAACTTCCCAACATTTGTTTTTCAAAGTGTATAGAGTTAATTTTTGTCAGTTTAAACGTAATAATTCATTTAATTATCTTAGGAAAATTTCAACAAATATCTAGTACCTAAATTATTATATGACATAGGGTAGGCTAGAGCCTAGATATACTGGTGTCTGGTAGTATACTTACTATACTAGCCTAATATGAAATTATTGAAATATACCTAGCAATTCCAGAGAATCTTTTAAAATAAATTAAAAATCAGTCACTAGATATTTTGATTTAAAAAATCTCACCCGTTTTGAGAGGGATGCAGTTGACTTAGTTTGATTTTTTCTGTTTTTAACTTGCCTATTAACGCAATAATTTATGTCTTCCATTCAATTTAAATAGGATGGGGCTAGGCTGGGAAATATTATGTAATAAATACTTGATAATTCTTGCGGAATACATTAATAATTAGCGGATTACAGGCAAAAAATTAATTTAGCAACCACTATTATTTCCCAAGTTTCATTTTTTGTTATCTCAATTAGCGATGCTTGATTAGACAAGAAGCCAGCAGCCAGCATAAAGTAATGGCCAAGTGGAAGTGAGGCCAACGACAATGGGAGACTTTCACTGAAAGTGACAACGAAGTGGTGTTGTGACGCGTCAGGAGAAAGTAAGAACGAGGTTACGAGGCGTAGCCGAAAATTAATTTTCACACATTTTAAAAGTTAGAACTGTCGTCTGTATTAAAAAAACAATCGTTTGCCTTCATGCTTTTTTAAATTCGGTCTGTTTAAACCATTCAATTAGTTGTGAAAAGCGATTTCATGATTTAAGTATTGCCTCGATTGGAATATCCATTTAAAGTCAAAAAGGTGCAAATGGATCGAAAGAGCAATAAACTCCTATATACGGCATTCGAAATATGATTGCAACCGATTAGTATATGATTCTACATTGTTGTAACCACACCCCATTGTATACTACTGACTACACACGCTCGACCCTGCACCTGGTGACAAGTACGTCATTCATTTATTTATATAGTATTAACACTAGAAACAACTTTCGTAGAATATAATTTATGGGTAGTTAGAATTCCTGTGATTATATGAAATTTACTCTTGGATGCATAATCACCAAGATTACACAACCCGCAAAACCAGCTCCTGCGCCTCAAGCGCCCACTCGGGATCTTGATTCTTTCCGCATGTTGGACTTTGAGGTTGAGAACTCTAGTGAAACCTTGAGCGCCAGTCGCATGTGGTCTATCGTGAGAAGGAGGTTTGCGCGTTTAGCTCCGGGACATTTAATACCAGTTATTCTGTAAATTCCTAAGCATTTATATCGTATAAACGGTGAGATATATATACCTTCGCATATAAGGAGTTTTCTTGCATTAAGAATACTGATCTAAAACTCAAACAAAGCATGAATATGCACTTTCACTTCCTCTCTGAATATCAATATTGCACATGAATCCCGTGGTTTTGCTGCCGATTTACTGAAAATTCACTAATACATATTAATTTAATATGAGTCAAATGAATCATAAAATAATAACGACAATTGTGTAAATTTGATTTTCCTTCACATGAGTGGGCCTCACAATCGAGCTTGATTAGTCATCGCTAGCGAATTAAAGTCATGAGAATTTCGTTGCCGAACTCAGTTTCGTTACTAGCTACCATTTTGCTTATTTATTCGGAATCTGGCGTTTTTCAGCGGATGGCTGGATTGTAATTGAGCGATGCCAATTTTTGTAGATAATGTCTCATTCGCAACCAAGATTGTCACTTTCTTACCTCATGATTCACGATGTGTACCGTATATGCTATTAATCACAATAAATTCTGTTTGTTTAGCGGGAACATTGCCACGACACGTTATAGATGATATGGAGTTCAGAAACTTTAATAACGTTGCAGGTGTTAACTCTCGACCGCTAACCTTGCGTCTCAAAAAAAAATTTTTAATACTTTGCCTTTGTGCGTCCATCATTCGTTTCCAACATCAACTCGTTTTATCAGAAAATATGTGATTGAATTTGTGAATTCAGGTTATCGTTCTCATCGCCTATTTGTATAATATCTAGATGTCTTTATGTTGTGCATGAGCGGTAGCTCTATTGGAACAGAATTTATAATGAGGCTCCATGGTCATATTACTGATCCAGTGATAGCTTCTCAAGTGATCGAAGTCGGTGATCGCACGCTTTACTCTGTACGTAAACTATAAATTCGTACGGTGAATTCGAATGGAAAAAGAAACGATATGTTCTTGATTTGTGGTTGCCTCGTATTCATGCGACAACAAACTTAACTTCAAGCATCTGGCCGACGCTGGAGTTTGCAACGTGTTCATGGAAACACAGACGTAGCGGTGAGCTGTTCGTCAAGACGCGTGTCCTTGAATCGTTTGGCCGTCTTCCTTGCGTCCCACGCATTGCAGCAGTCAGAATACCACGCACTCACCTGGCCTTTCATAACCCACTTCGTTACGGCCACACCACGAGCCAGTCTCACCATGCAACTTTATCTTAAATCAATACCTTGCAATCAATAGCCACGAAGACCAAAATTATTCGCACGAAGAAACGGTGAAGTTGCTGCCTCAAGTCAGTTCATTCGTTCTTACTGGTCAACAATGAACAATTTGTCCGCGCAGCCATACTAATCATGGCTGAACTAGGAACTAGTACAAAGGAGTCCCCGAGGGCCGATGGCTCCATCGCTCCAATAATATTACTGTCTGGTTTGTCAATGAGGCGTCAGGTTGTAATTAATGTCTAATCGACATATGAAATTAGTCTCGCTACTTAACATCGGATAACAAGGGCGCAAGCAGTAATGAAAGATTAATTGTATAAAGCAATCACTACTCTTCGTAAAAATCTATAATATTTTTCATAAATAAGAATATTTTTTCGGTGGATCGATACCGTTGCATCCTTACAAAATATTTAAAGTTTATAACACGGTGCCTGTTGTTCTTGTCTTAGTACCTTCAAGTTGGGCTACAATAATAGTCAGCGCAGCGCACCTAACAATAGAGTGTGTAACGAACACAAATGCATTGTTCGTATGCACTGGATGATTGCATCCATGCTCAGATTCCAATCACACTGAGTTCTATGCGTTGCAAATACAATACTTAACTAACTCGACTATTGTACAAGCGCTGCGCCTATTCCTGGTAGTAGCTGCGGCTTTAGCGATCGTATCTAATGAACGAGTTAAATATAACGAGTGAATGCAAGAAAATTATTGTAAAAGATTAAGGAACATAAAAAACATGAAGAGGCCAGCTGAATTATAATTAGACTCAGATTGTCGTGGGAAGAAGAGGCCTATTTGTCTGTATCTTATTGGTATCGCCCGGAGGACTGATTTAAATATGATAGGAAAAATCTGGAACACATCGATCAGTTAACATCTTTCATGAAAATTACATGAATTAAAAAAATAAATTGTTGATTTCTGAACAGATGGGACGATTACTGCTGATATTGACGGTGTTGGCTGTGATACTGGCCTTCGCCACAAGCTCGGAAGCCTCGATGAAGCTGTACAAGAAGAACCCGGGCAGCAACAAATACAGACCAGGTTAGTGGCAGCTGTGTTGATGCAGCAACCAACACAGACCAGGTTAGTGGCAGCTCTGTGTTGATGCAGCTACAAATACAGACCAGGTTAGTGGCAGCTGTGTTGATGCTGTCTCTTATACACATCTAGATGTGTATAAGAGACAGGACCAGGTTAGTGGCAGCTCTGTGTTGATGCAGCAACGTATACAGACCAGGTTAGTGGCGGCTCTGTGTTGATGCAGCAACCAACACAGACCAGGTTAGTGGCGGCTCTGTGTTGATGCAGCAACCAACACAGACCAGGTTAGTGGCAGCTCTGTGTTGATGCAGCAACCAACACAGACCAGGCTAGTGGCAGTTCTGTGTCAGGTAGCAACAACGCACAGGTAAGGCCGGTGGTATACTGCATGGCAGCATGGGTTGCAGAAATAAATTCAGTACGAATGCCTGGTACAAACGATAAACTGCAATTTATAAATGCTGAAATCGAATATAAAAAATAAACTTTTATCTTGATCCTGTTATTAAGTTTCAACAATACAAACTTACGATTAAACCAACTGCGTATTGAAAAATTTTTTAATGATATCTAGCCATAACTTACCTAAGGTGCATTGAATGAATGGTTAACGTCGATTGACTCTGAGATAAGTAACATAAGTATTCATATAAATCAGTTGACTTCAAAAGAAAAGTTACAAAAATGAAAATATGGAACTGATTTGAAACCGGATAAATTCATTATGATACAGCTGTTATTTTTATATAAATAGTGAACGAAAGCTGTATTTGGCTGTGTATTATTGGCGTGTATGAAAGCTGCCTTATTTCCCTGGTCGAAAAGTTATCAGATTCCAGCATATCACCGGATGTAATTACAAGCGAGGAAGAAGGCGCAAGGTTTCACTACAATATATGAACTACACTCTACGATCGATTAACGTCTCTGAGATTTAGTTGTAAAATTAAGTAATATATCGTGCTGTAATTAGAATCATATGAGCAGAGTTAATTGCTACTAAAGATAAGTTTCATTGCGATGATTTGTTTACAGTACTGAAGGCCGTGTCGTCTACGGTGATACCACTGGATGACTTACCCACCTTCACCGTCTCCTCTCTGCTTGGGCCCGCGTCTGAAGCGCCTCCTGCGGGCGTTACTAAGCCTGCTAAGCCCACCAAACTCATCACAGGTCAGTTGCGGTAATCAAATATGCCCATACTTCCGAGACTTAAAAATTATACCTTATCATTCATATGCTTACATTTAAAAATATATATCTATATAAATATTTTGCAATTGGTTGGGCAGCGTCACGTAAGAAGCCCTACGCGCCACCGAAGAAAGTCGGCGCCTCGACGTTTGATGACTCGGATTTCGCTGGCCTGTGAAGCTACGTCATGACAACTCAATACATTCTTGACCATCAATAAACACTCTTATTGCTGCAGCATTGCCATGACACTAAATTCTGTCTTCATCTAAACGGCTTTTAACTGCACTACCATCAATATTACGCAATAAACTGTTTCATCTTCGAAATTGGTGAAACTATGTGAACTCTGTGCCATTGCTTCGTCAAGTATACATAATCAAAATATCTGTAGACAAATGAAAAGAACAAGTTATAAGATATCTAGATCGCGTCAGGGTCTTCAGGCATCTAAGTGTTTTTCACTTACGGTAGTTTATTATACGCGGTCGTCAATCCCTTGTAAAGCCATAAATATATTTGATATTTGGCACATTGCAATCGCTAAAGATATACGTAACAAATAATAATTGCATATATTAGATTGAAGTTACTGATCTTACAAATAAATATGCGTTGACCAGCAGTATTTTCATTTGATCCTTAAATGTCTACTTTCTTTTAACAACTAGGACGTCATTTACGCACGGTTCACGTACTACTAATGCTGCAAAAATAGTCATATGGCTCTCGCTAGGAGGGCGTATATTATTGTAGAGTAATATGTTTTCATAATTTAGGAAAGGTTAATTTTAGTTGGTGCTTAATCGAGTATGGTGGATTGATCGAGTTTTGAGGAATAATCTATCCCTTTAAGAAGTAAATGGAGAAAGATTTCTCAAGATTAGTTTAGCAATCACAGATCATCCGACAAATTAACGTTATTAACTGGTTTAATTCTCTAAAAAACCATCCATATAATCGATGCGATAATGGATTGATTTGATGGAGCTGATAATGCAGGTGAAGAGTTTTTCAATCAAGACTCGATGCGTGAAATAAATTGAAAGAATTGTTACTACCTTCTGTAATAGAGACCTGGTGCAATGCGTGGGATGAGGCTGGCTTGTTCGAGTTGATAATAATAATAATAGCGGTTTCAGCGTTATTAGACCGTAGGCCTGTCGCCGATTCTTAACATCACAGAACATTCACAGCATTTTGCGGTCTCGAACTCGCAACTCACTGCTACAATTCTGCTATGCTTAACCGCCCGGCCTCCTCGCCGATTCTGACCAGAAACTGTCGCACAGAGCTGGGATCGAACCCGCGCCTCTCTGCGCCAATCTTGGTACTCGGAACTTTAACCACTGGGCCACCCTGCCACCCTGATGTATCAGATTATTCAGGAATGTCCTCAATACGTCAGGGCTGTTATCAAGGGCGATACGAAGCTGTACAAAAAAGTGTTTTTGAAAACGTAGTGTTCGAAAATAACGTCAGGCACAAGAGATTTATACCATTTACATGGTCAAGGCTGACGACGGAGGGACTAAGGCAACTACTATTATGCAATTGATGTGTTGGATTCTTATGAGGAGACTAAATATTTAAACTTTATTGTTATCACTAGATCTGAAATGGTTTAGTTGATAGAGGGGTTTTCGACAGCTCACCTATTGGATCAATGAAATCCGGTCTAGTAAAGAGTCACTGTCTATCATTTCATGCAGAAGCTGTGCTCGTGAGACGGATTTAGTAAGATATTCACCATTGTTAATAATTGTGAATATTTTACCACATAGTGTCATAATACGATTCCCGGCTGTCAAGTCTAGGCATGGGCTGTTATACGTCTCGGACAAATTTACGGCCGGTATTTTATGCTCACTGCGAATTTCAGCAGGTATTGCTGCTAAATCACGAATGAGGGAAAGTGAAAAATACTCGCGAACGAAGGAAAAAGTGAAAAAATTATCACGAGGTAAACATCACCGTTAGGTATTCAAAAATTTATATTCAAAATTTCATTGGAATCTGTTCTGTACTTTAGAAGAAATGTCATGCTCACTGCAAATTTCGGCACCCATTGTCATATAACTGACGAATGAAGGCGAAATTAAAAAAACTCTCACGAGCTAAACATCACCGTTAGGCTATAATGATTCTGTGTACCAAGTTTCATCGTGCTACGTTCAGTAGTTTGTGAAATATTCTATGCACACTGATTTTGGAGCCCGGCCGCAAGACCGGCCGCAGGTCCGGCCGTAAATTTGTCCGAGACGTGGCTGAGGTCGACAGAATTTGAAGTGGCACTGAAAAAATAACAGATTAATCAGATTTTTTAAACAAAGGGAAACGAGGAAGAACCATCATAGAAAGAAACTAGAAAGAGTACTAGGTGCCACCCGTTGCGAACTATAATCTTTCATCGCCTTGTTTCCTTACCAGCGGATGACTGTGAGTCAGTGAGTGAGTACCAATTTTTGACAGTCGGTAATCGGTGTGAAAAGTGAGAGAGTCAGCGGCGTTCATACGGTAAACACCTTACGATTGTGCTCTGTGATTACTAGAATTCCTCTGAGATTAACGTAAAATTTTCCTCCGTGATACGGTGATTAACGTAATACTCAGAATACCCACACTGCCACACATTTATCAACTTGATTTTGAATTTGCTTTTCTGTATACTACGCGTATATAAGTTAAGTGTCTAATTTAATTTTCAAGAACCCGGCTGGCTTTCTCGCCCCTCCCCCACACTCAGGATGATGTATGTTTTCGGTGAATTTTCCCGCGTATTTTCACTTTTTTTAATCTATTGCTGTGCACAGTTCGCGCAATGTAATGAAAATTGATTCACTTGTCAAAGTTAAGAATAACTCTGTTCTGGGTTGACAGTCATAATCTTGAATGGATCTGTCTGATCTACTAATTAGACGTAGATAGACCTGAGGGGTTTTGGTTCATTTATAAATTGTCCGAATAACAGATTAAATACTCATCGGCCAGGGAAGGATAAATAACAAGTCGTGTATCTAAGCTTAAGTATTGAAGAAAGGTTCATGGGATACACTCGATAGAAG